ACCGAAACCCTACATTCTTCCGTTGATTGTGACCTTGCACGAACTCGGTCACGCTCAGTAACCCCATTTGCAAAATTTGGCACGATCTCGGTATTATTTCAATACCACAAGATCGCCAACAAATATTTCTCGACTACAGCCATCAACTGCCTTCTGGTACTTGGCCTACGGGGGGTCTGACGCAGTAACTGGCACGTAGTCTTCCTGTAGTGGTGATCAAAGTCGACCGCGAATCGATACCACACTACAACCTTACGCTGCTTCTCTAAGTCGCGGATAAAGATGACTGATCGTTAGAAACACACAACTTATTAGGACCAGAATCACAAAATTTAGCATTGCTTGTATCGAAAAGAGTAGTAGTATAAGGAACTGCCTGTGTGTGTCTAATCATACCACACTTCAAGCATTTACAATTACGAAATACGCATAAATTACATGGGTGAAACTTATCACAGAACAAGCGCTTACCAAACTTGTGGTTATCTTCGTGACCTGCTTCGCAACTTCTCAATGAATAATCTTGGTTACGCATTGGACTGGTACGACGTATCAATGTGGTGGAACTCCTGATGTCCTGACGAATCGTTTCTTCACTGTATTCGAAGTTGTGTACACTTTACATGGTCTGAAAGTTACTTGAGAGTTGCATAAGGGAGTGAAATCGGCTTTTCTGGGATCGCCAAACTGTAGGCTTCTTTTCTTATGAATGTAAGGTAATGAACCACAATATTAACATCCTGAACATCTTCATTGTCAACAGTTCAGGTGACTAAGTCAAAGATGTAAATTTACTGGGGTAAGGACAACTTGATTAATGTCTCTTACTAGATACGTAAATCTGGTCTGAGCTTTTTATTGCTACTACTCTGGCAAACCGAAGAGACACCGTGTACCTTCGTCTTATGTTAACTCCGGAAGATCGCAGTTATTGTAGGGAGATACCTGGTATGTCGAGTTGTTGAACTAATTAAGGCTATTTCGACTCTCAACCTCAAATTCTTCCGAACGAGGTCCGGAAGGTTTGTAGAATTATGGTCTACTATGATATTAGTACTGCCCTTATGATAGACCTAATCCTAAATTTGTAGATTTGTCATGATATAACTGCCTAATCTATAAGATCTTACGTGGAAGTCACACCATCGACTACACCAACTCACTGTATCGTATCAATTACCAACACATGATGTAGAACAAGGTTAGACTAGAGAAAGAACAATATATTTAATATGAATAGAAGATATAAAGTAACATTGAGATGGACCACGCCTGCATGGACGAGCCATGCCATCCGATCAAACCCAGTCCATTCAATTCCTTGTTCGCGCCTTCTCTATTGTTAGGTATTTCCCCGAGTTAAATATTGAATATCTATTTTCTGAGTAGTCTCGTGTTCACAGCTTTGTGGATTGTGTGGCTATTGTCCAATGCCACTACAGGTTAACATATTTTTCTTCTCTGTTCTAACAATGTATGTGCTTTGGCACGTACAAGTTAATCGGTAAATATGATTGCAAGTATTGACAAAAGAGGGCCTATCCAGCAGAATTTATTTAAACTACGACATCTTCTGTCCAATAAGCTGCCACAAGGGGATCTCATGAACCCTTTTTGGACACACTAGTAAACTCTGCGTGAAGTAAAACCTTAAAGAAAAGCATGCTTTCACTAATACATGTACTCATGAAAACCTATATTCGCCGAACTTCATAGAGAATTATACCGAAACCAAAGGACATGTTGAATACAATTCAGGTGAAAATAAAACCCGCGATTACTTCAGGAGGAACATTGCCCTCCTGGAATATGTACAGAGACAAGTACTCAAAAGTGTGATCGGACTAAAAAGTAAACCCAATTAACTTGATGAACTCCTCACCGAAGATGATAAAGAAGATACTTTATGCAGAAATTTTCAAAAGGAGGCCAGACGTTTACGTCAGTTCCGTATGTACAGAGAATGGTTAGTCCAAGTGTTGCTTGCTGATCAGTTTCGCTACTAACTATTAACTTATTATACACCTCGGATCTAGAATTGATATGATTAGGACCACACTATTTCATTATCAAGAGTGCTTCAATACCATGAAGATGCATATGGCGAGTGATAACAGTTCGCTACTTCTGCCACGCGCTGTTTGAATCTATTGTCACACCAACGACATGAAGTATCAAGTTTCAACTGCCAGATCGGAATATTCACCCCTCCGGAAGACACAAACTGCTTCTTTCCTTACTGGTAGACAAGCACAATGGCATATCTGTCAACCGTAATCATACCAAGGTTGAACCATTGTGTAATAGGTCTAGCCATGTCAATCGACTGCTCTCTTCTTAACTGTATCAACTGTGACATGTAGTGAGTCTCATTCGAACATACAACCTATGTAAGGTTACTGGGTTCACGCGAAGTTGTTGGGTAGAACAGTTAAAGGTTGTACTGTGATTTTAAGTACCCTTTAAGCTTCATTCTTATGTAGCCTATATCCATTTGTTTTCACAATTTTCTCTTTCGTAACTTAAGCCTTGTGCACTCAGTCCCTATATTGTTTCACATTCGACCCTTAGTCTGCCGAATAAACCGCATGGAAATATAATTTCTACCAGTACCTACACTATCATTACAAGGACAACTAGTAGAAGTTCTAATGCATGAGGCTAATAATAATTTAAAAAATCCCTTTTATCTGTCAACAAGCTTATAAGCAAATCTAAAATGACACAAGGTGACGAAACGTATAGCATTGTATACAGCATTGATTGTTCAACTCGGGCATCATAAACGAGTATCCAACTAATCACCCAAATCACACTCATACCTGGATTCCCACTCTTAGTCAGAGCAGTAAGCAATGAAAAATTAGGAGGAAAGGACGTCACATACTCCGGTTAACACAGTCTACTGGGAAAACAAGACGGAAAAATGGTGGCGACTCAGCATTCAAATGCAGTTTGCGTGATAGCTGGGCTCACCGTTATTGCAATTTTTCGGTTCCTAGGCAATACGACGGGTTTATGCCAATAGTGTCGAAGGTAATAGAGGGACCAGTCGATGAACATTTGAGAGAATACATGTATGAAAACAACATTATCCATGGACCCAACACAGGCTTAGTAAATGCAAGACCTGTGTGTTGAATCTCCTTGTAACATGGGACAGTTGGTCGACCTTCTTGGAGTAAGGAATACCGATCCGTGTAATATTCCCTGATTTCTCAGAGTCTTTGACACTGTCACATATACTCCTTATAAGGAAGATTGCGAAAATGGGTTTCACTAACCCACTTCCGTTTTTGTAACGAAACCAGCCAAAAAACAGAATGTTCTGGACATAGGTGAGTGGAGTGCACATCAGCTGCAGGCTTTTGAAACCAAGAGTTCCACAAAAGACAGTCTCTGACCTACCTCTGCTTGCGATCTTCAACAACGACCCTTTAGCTCAGTAGCATTACCCTACACGGACTACTCAAAGATATAGACACCCACAAGTGGTGAAGGGGACTCATTTGAGCTCATCAAGATTGTGAAAACAACCTGTAATTGAGCAGTGGATATTGGGTTGAAAATCAACCTGTTGAAATGTCACATCATAGACGTTTTGCACCTGTGACATAGAGGACCATGTCCTCCATGGAAATCCACTCCCAGCTGTCTCTTCAGAGTACGATCCTAGGCTGGTAACCTTGGAAAGCTTGTACACTAGTTCAAACTACATAGTGGAGGTAAACAAAGCAAACCCAACTCTTCAGTTTGTAAGAAGACAATCATCTCAAAATTGTTCTTAACTCTTTATAACGTACTCACAGCGCCATTGTGAAGTCCACTATACTGTTTCCCCACTTCTCTACAAGAGAGACATAAGTCTCTTAGGAACAGTGTAAAGACTGGCAATTAAGTGGATAACAGAGCTAAAGAGTAAATCTTACGAAGACAGACTTCAACAAGTCGGATTATCCTCTCTGAGCTACGAAAGAATGAGGGGTGACTTGATAATAGCAGGTGATGTACTAAGTACTCCAAATCACGCCAGATACGAGTATCCTACCAGAAAACCAACATCACACCCCTTAAGACAACCCTCAAAAGACTGCACATCAAAGTGTGAAAACCAAGTTACGCTACCACTTTATTACAGGCGAAGTGCCCACGACCCCCACAATGGATAACTTCAAGAAGAGACTTGACAAATATTTACGCGCTTATGGACTACCATCTCTCGCTTAGACCAGGTGTGCCTCACCTGAAGTTATCGTTGTAACACAAAACTAACGTATTCTTAACTAGCTTACCACCATCACTGTTTCCCATTTGTATCCTTATAATTCCTATATTGCATACCGTATGTCTTACCAGGTAATTAAGTTACTTGTTTATCTGTTTGCTTATTATTTCTTGAAACAATCGTCTCCTCTAAGCATTCTAGTTCTTTCCATTGTCACTTTTCACATTACGACCAACCGATCTTTTGCCTGGTAACATGATGGCTGCTGGTATCCAGAATTTCTACAGCCCTGAGACAAACCCACTCAAAGTTTAAACTATACATTTTGATAAATAACTAGTGAACTAACTAGAATTATTCCAGTCGAGTGACTAGACTGCCAACCGTTGGGCATTACGGAAAACCTGGAACCGTACAGAAACAACAAGAAGTGATCCTAAAGAAATCAATCGGTCTACACAAGCTCTTAACAAAGGTAGTAGGTATTAACTGTTATCTTCACTTCACTTCTCTGAACTATACTTTATTCCTCAACAAACCAATTTTAATCTCAGTAATGTGGCAGTTGCTGATCTTAGCAACCCTACAACCCTAGAACAAACCCACACATATCCAAGAGAAATTAATCCCTTATCAGCTATCAAATCCATTGGGGTTAGTGCAGTCGAATGGCTGGAATATCCACATTGGATGATACTAAAGGCTTGAGACCGTAGCGTAACATCAGGAAGCGGGCGCAAGGTAACCAGAATGTTCAAGCTGGATATAAAGATATTGGATATGGGCCTTTTGTTCACCCGCCCGATATGTTCACACTGTTTACAGTTTGGCGTAAATGCATTGTGACGAATTTAAGATCTCATACTAGCTTTCCTAGTTGTGATTGTCGAATTGACTTTGGTACATGCTGTTATTGATTGCTATCAGTTGTTTTCACTTATAAATGTAAGTGCATTCTACGAAATAGCTGAGTCGTTGGTTCACTTTTTTGTCCTATTCTCAGATTTCCTCACACACACTGCTCTAAACACTTCCATAAAACCCAGATTATTTAAGGCTAAACACGAACCAATATAGCATATTATAGTATTTCTTATAGTGGATTTGGGCTTGGTTTGTAATATATACTATAAAGGCTTCTTCACTGGGACAGTCACCGAAGCGCTCATGACTAAACCTTCAGACCGAAATTGCCACATGGAGACGAGAATCCAAATATCTAGGTTCGTATGTGACAATTTTCACGTAGTATATACACATCATAATACAGAGAGCGTTTACTAATAACTTTGGGAGAATCATTGGTTGGCTGTTATGACTTAATTCTTTACATCTTACGAAAATACCAGAGACTACAAAAGGACGGTTTACGTGGCTTGTGGTATTCCTGTGGAAAAACCCCTTTGGTAAAGTGGACCTTAACTCACCCATGGTTCACGTAAAAATGGGCTGATATATTCAATCGTCACTGCTTACTGATATCTAAAACTATCTACTTATTTATTCCCTATACGTCGTGCATAAGGAACGAATTAAGGTTACGAAGTAATCTGTATTTTTACCTGCTATAATTATGTTATTTTGGTCTAGGTACAAAGATGTGCTTAGCATTGCACAACCTCTTTACTATATCGAAAATGATCTCCAATACTAGTCAGCATATAAGATCCCTCTGTGAACTCAGTTGTAAAACGTTCATCAGAGCGTTCCATAGTTTTGAGCGGTTACTGATGTTCCGACGACTGGTAGTGTCCCAGAACTTTTGTTTCGTATTAAAATTAGGCTTATCCATTTCTAAGGGCACTGTCAACTGGCCATATAGGCCGATGGAGTTATTCTCAAGCCAATACATTAGCTATTAAACTAATCCATCTTCCAACTGAAGGTTTTTGCATCTATCCAATTCACTAGATCTGAGTACTCAGTCCAACAAAATAGCATTTATCTCGATAACCGAAATTTATCAAGCTAAAACATTTTACGATGGCATATCGTAGTTAGCTAAATAGAATTCAGCTCTGTCCCTTTATGTTTTCTGTAGTTGTTTATGTACTGCATTAGGCTCCGAAGATAGAAAATAACATCAGTGGCAGATACAATCTATCTGTCTAAGTATTCTCTGTTGGAAAATTCAGTGACAGGCAAAAACAAAAGTAAGGAATGTTTATAAGAGTGGTAATACAGAACTAAAAATCAGGTGGAATAGCATCACAAAATGGTAAAATTATTTACAGACTTTATTTGACCTAAACACAAACATTGGTACAAGGAGGCACCAAAGAGATATGGACCACATAAGTCATTCGATTTGTGTGAGGGCTGAGATACTGTCTGGGTGCCCAAACCGAAGCAAGTGGGTTCCTTACGGGACCACTTCCCAAGCCTTTGAACTAAATGTCTAATCCACAAGGCAGTGGAGCGACGTCAGAACATGCAGTCCCGTAGTAGCCGGTGACCTATAATAGGTTCATGCGCCTTTTGTCCCATCAGAATCCTGGAGCCCATCCACTCCATTGGTCTGAAATAAGTGTTTTCCAACTCCCCTAGGTGGATCCTCCGTACCCACCAATCCGGTTTAAGCTCCAAACATTCTCTTGTTGTCCTCTCAATTTCGTAAACAACAGCGCTGTCGTGAGAAGGTAGTGAGTAGGACTTCCTTGGCAGTAGTTGTATGCACGTGGCCATGTGAGGGCATTTGGAGATGGAGAGCTTATTCTCCCCACTCTCGGTCGTATCAGGGCATTTGGGGGACATTTACAGACTGATAAAGTATTAACTGCTTTAAAATTGTGAATGATACTATGTAGACCAGTGCAATCAATTTTTATCCCAGCTGCAGAGACTTTTAATAACTTTAGCAGTCTCATATATACATCCAGAAAATCCAGTAACTAAAACTGCTAAAACCCTACAAATTGGTCTCAGACAACCTTACATACCTATATACACAGATATGGATTACTTAATCTGCTACACACGCGTGTCACATTTGCTTCATTCCTTTTTCCAACACATACATGACAATTTACGTTCACAAATTTCATCATTCCCTGTAATTCACACTGTCGATTCGTGTTCGTGTTCATGTTGATCTTAAGAATGTACACTATTGGTTGCCTCGGAGCTCACTAAAGTCATAAACGCTTGACATCAAAGACAGTTTGAATAGCCTTTATCCTACCTCAAATTGTTCAGTAACGCAGTAATTCTAAAATATGAGTCGTTCATCAATGAGTGTGAAACTTCCAGATAGTTCAGAGTTTGATTGAATCGAGCGAAATGCTCTTAGCTAATATCTCTCTGGAAGGCTGAATAATGGCATACAACAGTGTGAAGATATTCACTTTCTAGTTGAATGTACAAAATCTGTTCTTATCATTATGGCATTTTTTATGAGTAATTTAAGGCTTTTTTCAAATATTCTAACATAAATATGTAACTATACAGAACTTATCGTCGTAGAATTATACCTACTTCATTTGGATTTTCAGGTGTCATTGTCAGATTGCTTATATTTCTCACTCCTATCAAAACAAAACTACAACTTGATTTCTTCCATTCATTAGAACATTAGAAACCACCTTACTTAACTATCAAGTTGAGTACACTCTCAATGGACTTTATATTGAAACCAGTTATTTCATGTAAGTCATTCGAAATATGAATTTCTCCACTAAACAACTGGTTAATATTATATTCCCAGAATTTTGTTACATTTGTTTCAAAGACTAACTTTTTAATTGATGTTTATTTTATAAATCACCTGAAGTAGAACTCACTATACTGTTTGTTTGCTTGCTAATTATATAATTTGTCTGTAATTTTAATGTTGTATTTCATCAGCAGTTGATTTTAGCCGGTAAACCTGTAGAAATCAAAATTTTGATAGATTTATTTTGAAATTATCTTATTCTCATTGGTTTCACAATAGAGTCTAAATAGACTAGTGAAATGCTATAACATGAGCACTGTAGCCGGAACTTGTATCATTGTGTAAGATGGAAATATTGCAATGTTCCTCTCCTCTACAATATAGAGTTCGACACTAAGTAATATGGAAATATTGCAAATAAATAAAACAGTAAAAGTAGTATGAAGTTTGAAATACAGATTCAGTAAGAAGTAAGTCTAAACCCTTACTGAATCATGGTTTCTACTATGTTCAGGCACCTTAATATATCACAACGTTACCATTTTGTTAACGTAGGTTCGTGTACTTCTCAAACCTTAACACTTGCACCTAGGATTCATGAAGCAAGTGTAAGTACTATTCATAGGACAAACCTTTAATAATCGGTCCTTGCATGTGTGTGAAGGTAGTGTCACTGCAGTTGCTTGTTACTTGTGAAGAAGAACACGCTGCCGCCATTTTCCGCTACAACTTCACCGTCGGAATCAAAACGTGTTGCTTCTTGCCTTATCTCCAAGAAACCCCAAGAAGCGTTTGGTTAGGTCATGGCGATGATTAACCTTATCTAGTTCTTTAAGACGGTAGCTGTTTTCGGATCAGATTTTCATGAGTGTTGCTTGAGCTTTGTTGGAAAAGATGTCATTATTTTGTCATCGTTCATTTAAATTAATTTCAACCCATAAATACCTAGAGATCTGTATTTATTTTAAATTTAGGTGCTGGTGATGAAAATCTTTTGCCTTATTTCGAAAGCCGCTGTTTATCGACTTTGGGGAGTCAGCAGGTGGTATGGAAGCATCCCAAACTGTCAATGGTTCATTCTGTACGATTGGGAGCATGTTTTACAAGATTTCGTGTTAGCCAGTTACAGTCTAACGTCAAAGTTTTATCAAGTGGAAGACCTATTCGACCTGTCGGTACATTTCAACCATTACTTTATATTTATGTGACTTCAAATGTAAGTAACAATCACTGTTTTTATTCTATTTATTTATTGTGATTCCCCTAACTTAAGTGGCTTTAGTAATTGCCGTAGTCGAAGCCTGAAAAATTGTTAAAAACCTAACTGATACAAATCTTTTAATGTGTTTAGTTGGTCATGTTTAACTACATTTTAAGTGTGCCTGGAGATGCATTTTCGGTAGTGGGATGAATATTTGTTGACGTATGGGGTTGATAAAATGTGAATGTGCTCTACGTCTAATTAGATATCAAATCATATGACCGTTTGATTAATTAAGTGGATAGGTCATAGTAAAGTATTCCGGTTCATTAACTTAAAATTCCTCTTTTATTCGCATAGAGAAGAGTGAATACTAAGTTCAAAGGTAAATATACGATTTTTAACTCAAGTATTACTCTCTTTTGTACATCTTAGTTTCTAAGAATGTAATACACTTTAAAGTGTAAAGAGAGATTTTAATCAGCTAAATCACGTAGTTATCCCACTAAAGTTGTATATAAACCTTTCTTTCTAGTTTTAGTAGGCTCAGTTAACTAATCACACGTCTAAAGTGTTGGTGACCTAATGGTAATATCGAGGCAATCCTCACTGGGTGCACATATGTCAAGAGAGACTAACCAGTTGTAGTCTTAAACATCACTGGGAAGATTCGAATAACCAATACAAATGAAAATGTTTTGTTTGAAAAAAAATTTATCGTTTTGTTGGTTTAATGATGGACAACAAAATCTTACGGAATATCCGAACTGTATTAGTGATTACTAACAAGTTTTCTATTAAGATTCAAAAACCCTTTCCAACTTTTGGCCTTGGTTATTTGTACATATTCTAGCTGAATGTCATATGTGTTGTACATTACCGATCATATGTTGCGAATGTTCAGTTAGTGTTTATCTCGTAATGTATTATCATTTACAGTAAATCCCTAATAGTTATATGATTAAGTTGTATCATTCTATGAAGTAATTGACTGTAACTGGAACAGTATGTATGTAAGTATATACTTTCTGACCCATTTTTACTAGACAGTAGAAATACTAATGATGGAATAAATTAGTTGATGGCAATTGGCGGTAGTCAACAGTAAACCTTGGACTAGTGATTACATTGCAACTCAGTTAATGTAATTCAATAAACAATAAGAAGAATTTAACATACACGATATTGTTCACTATTCAATCAACTGTGAATTATTTGATGTATGACTAAAGATAAGTGGAACTGTTCTGCTATAATGCATTCTGACTGCTGACTATTTTACTTTTTAATATTCTGCTATCCATAATCTCTTCCCTTCCATTTTTTGATTCTGGCTTTTTCGATTATTCTTTTTCTCAATCGAAGATTTCTGTGGTTTATTTATATGGTAGAATTCTACAGATGGACCAGAAAATATGAATACTCTGAACTATTCACTTTCAAAACTCCAGATTTGAATTCTAAAAAGTGAACTACCAACACATTGATGTGGATGCATGTTGTCAAAAGGACAATGTATGCTTCGAACTTCATATATGTCATTATTTTTAATACTGTTATCATACACTGTTTTTGTTACTAAATGTTCAACAATTAACTAGAACTTCGATGTTTTTTTGATTTTTTGATTGAATATTTTAGGATGTTTCTCATTATACATCACATGGTGGACGGAATGCTATCGGTAGTTGGTTAGGCCATTTACGTGCCAGAAATGTATTTGACTGGCTTATTATTATGGTTAATTCTGATCCACAGTATAACACACCAAAAATTCTGCAAAAATCGAATGTACTTGACAAAATTAGAAGTGATTTTAATGTTCGTACAGGCGACCGGTAAGTCTTCTGATTGATGTTTTTCACTTTGTTTAGTGTGTTATATCGAATTACTCAATATGTTAATTTCGAAGGAACAAATATTTGAAATTAAAGTAATGGGTGTTCTATTTTTTCTAAAACTCATCAGTTATGCCGTTCCCTGTGATTATTTCTCTTGATGTCAGGTGAACACATACTATTTTTCGAACGTTGATTCTATCAGTTAACACCTGCAATATCAGAACGCTCATAAGTATAATGATATTCGATTTACCAGTTTAAGATTCTGAAACCGTAAGATTATACTGTAGTCCATATTGTGTGTATATCTCATCTTGGATTATATTGGTCAAATGTGTATTCCATTTGCTGTCTTGTTATAGGACTGTGGAAATGTACAAAAGCCTGGTAATTGTATAGTTCTGTAGCATTTCGTGTGTAACGATAGATAAGAGTAATATGCTGGTTGCGTAGTCTCAAAAAAGACACCGGATTTTTTTGTATTGAATAGAAAGGATTCAGAAATGTTGCTAAGTTTTAATAACGGCCGATCAACCTCTGTTGCCATACATGTATCCTCAGCGAATCGTCTGTAAATTGTCTTTTTGGTATAGGACAAAACACTTATCATGGGCTTTACTGCCAGCCACAGTTCAAATATACTGCCCCCAAATGCCCTGGTACAGTCGAGAGTGGGGAGAATAAGCTCTCCATCTCCAAATGCCCTCACATGGCCACGTGCATGCAACTACTGCCAAGGAAGTCCTACTCACTACCTTCTCACGACAGCGCTGTTGTTTACGAAATTGAGAGGACAACAAGAGAATGTTTGGAGCTTAAACCGGATTGGTGGGTACGGAGGATCCACCTAGGGGAGTTGGAAAACACTTATTTCAGACCAATGGAGTGGATGGGCTCCAGGATTCTGATGGGACAAAAGGCGCATGAACCTATTATAGGTCACCGGCTACTACGGGACTGCATGTTCTGACGTCGCTCCACTGCCTTGTGGATTAGACATTTAGTTCAAAGGCTTGGGAAGTGGTCCCGTAAGGAACCCACTTGCTTCGGTTTGGGCACCCAGACAGTATCTCAGCCCTCACACAAATCGAATGACTTATGTGGTCCATATCACTTTGGTGCCTCCTTGTATCAATATCCATGTGTTTAAATAAATAAAATAAAATAATAGTTCAAATATACTAAAATATTTGTGCTTATTTCCATATTTCCTTGATTATCGGTCTACCTTATCTGTTGCTATTATTATTATTATTATTATTATTATTATTATTATTATTATTATTATTATTAATGGCTTTATTCAATATTATCTCATGTACGGTGAAGTAATCAGTAACATCACTTCAAATTGTTTGACTAAATAGGTATATAAACCAGCATTCCAGTTTCTCCAATTCGAGACATTAAACATATATTGAGAACTTTATTAGATCTTTGACCTGAATTGTCATAAGGTTTTCCTTGCGAACATCGCATGATATATGTATTGTTTACGTTCTTGAAATTTAGTAAATCAGTCATTGAGAACTTTTGTATATAGACATAGTGAGACGTGAAATGGATATCCAGAGATCAGCATTATTTGAATCCAATCCACATATTAATGTTAAAGTTACTACTCAGCTGTATTCGATTGACTAGGCACCTTGTTTGTTTGGTGCTTTCTTCATTAACCATTTTGCTTCGAATCACTTTTGTAAACCGAATTTATTGCTATTCTCAACCCAAAGAATCTGACTATTTTTTTAATTCTTCATCTCACGTAAGCTTGTTTTTACTTGACTGCTTGCTTAGATAATCAGTTTATCAAAGCAAACATATATTAATATGATATAATCCATGTATACAGTTTTTATATCTTTTAAAGACAATTTTTAGAAGTACCAGCACCTAATTCAACTGAAGAAAAACTATTCAATGAATCATGGAATCAGTTAACTTATCTTGTTCGTAAATCTATCATATCGGCTTGTATGTCAATTATTGCTGATTATGATATACATTTACAAATGCTGACCGATTCATGTTCATCCTTTACATGGGATTATTTTGAGTATTTAGATAGAAAGGTAATGACGATTATTGTGAAATTATACTATGATGATGAGTTTAAGTCAACTAATCAGATTGAAGATAACGGTTTTTGAAATTCGACACTAAATTTAAAGCACAATCACGAATAGCCTATTACTCAAAGCAATGGTGTTTGACTATATTTCGTATGTTGACTGATTTTGAAGGGGATGTGATTGTATTGAAATTGGTTAGACCGTTATCCGTAAAAAAAGGTATAATAGAGTTAGAAATGTAAAAGTAGATTGGGCAAGTAGTAATTTCTTTAATTTAATTAACTGGTTTTCGAAATATGGGATAGGACGTTGCAGAAAGGTTATTTTGAGTATACTCCAAATAGAGTGACGTTAATTCTCACATCCATTACTAGAAGTTATATCCGGCTTGAAACAATGAAGAACATGGGCTATCAGATTTTTAGAAATGTTTTGGTTGTCTAAAGGCTCCATAGGAAGAATGCTATGAAGTCATATGGACGAATTCCTATATTGTTCTTACTATGAATTCAATCCTAATGAACTTAAACTTAAGCTGAATAAATTCACTGATCTTGTGGAAACTCTCTATGTATATTTTACTATTTCTGATTTTTTGTGGTTAATACTTCATTGTTATCACCGGCATTTTAATTGGGTAATAATAGTTTATCAAGATACTGCCTACTTAATCCGCTTTTACTTTTCTGCCTCTATTATACCTTTTTATACGGATAATGGTTCTATCAATTTCAATACAATCACATCCCCTTCAAAACCAGTCAACATACGAAATATAGTCAAACACCATTGCTTTGAGTAATAAGCTCATTCGTAATTGTGTTTTAAATTTAGTGTCGAATTTCAAAAACCGTTATCTTCAATCTGATTAGTTGACTTAAACTCATCAATATCGTATTGTTTTACCTAATGTTTCTACGTATCTCCTCATTTATATTTTTATTTTACACAGTTGTTATTGTTATTTTCTATTACTATACTAATGTCAAAGTTGAATTAATTTCTGTATAAATAAATAGGAATTATTCTAATAAGTAAATACTTCTTGTATTTACCATTTATCCCTGTTATTATTCATTAGTAGTAACTTGGATTAACTAGAAATGAGTAGTTCAATTGAAATGTTTCTTCTACTTTTTCCATAGATTATTAATACTGTTACTAAAAATTGTTTTGAATTATTTCTCCCCTCCCCCCCACAGATATTTATTTTGTCATAGTGTTTAAATTAAGTATGCTCATTTTCCCAATATCTGATAAAATTCTATCTTGGATTCATAAATTTACTTGGAAGTGATAGTGTTTACCATATACATATAATTTGCGTTAATTATTGAATTAATATCAATTTATGTTTTAATGTATACCTATTTATATTTTATATTCTTTAACTATTACACAGGAAGAATTAGCGCATATGTATTTGTTTCTTGGTGGACATGAGCATGCTTTACATGAGTATCGTGAAGCAACCGAACTACTTTCTAAATGTATTCAAGCGTCAACACAACTAGGTAAGCAATTTTTTGTTTAAATTTTCAATAGTTTCCTGGTGTTTTTTTTTTATAGTTTGATATGTTTATCTGTCAAAAGGATATTAAAACAGTATTGTGATGTTTACTGATAGATCTGTTAACATTTTATTTATCAAATAATCTGAATCTAATTTTATATTAGTTAACGTATTTATTTAAAAAAAATATATAGAATTCGAACAAAAATGTAAGCAGTACGAATTGCCGAAAAGTGAAACGATTTGTAATCTTAACTTGTATCTACGCTATTCATGATTAAAATGAATTTCAAGAGACAAAATAATGTAATAAATGAACTAAAACTGATTTATCTTCAATACGAAATACAATAGTGTTAAACTGGGCACTCGATCCATACATTAGGTAATTAGTCTTAATTCATATATATATTAGTTGTTTAATACCTCCTATTGATGTTCAGGACTGCAATTGATCAGTCTTTTTCGGAATATGTGCATTCTGTATGGACTGTGTCGATATTGCCAGTAAGTCAGAAGCATTTTTGGGCAGAGATGGATGGTGGATAACAGTGGAATCCAGGATGTGATTTTCGCCTTGTTTTGGACTCGTCAGCTGGATGTATCTGCATCCCAGAGTTGGTGTTCACTCCGAGACTTGAACCCGATACCTTTCACTTCAAACTCCATCGCGTTATGTACTGACCAATTGTAAATCCAGCTGCTTAAAACGAAATTCTTAGTAAAAACTACACTTCAATATGTAGTACTGATCCACTAAATGAACTGGAAAAATCACTACCAGTGCTTGGCACAACACACTAAGTGATCATTGAACACGTTGCAGATTATCCCAGTTCACTTGTAGATTAAACAATTTTAAAAGTATCAAATCCTTTTTGTTGATTTTCACAATCTCATGAATTTCTGTCTGGATCTATCATTCTATTCAGGATCTAAACGTCCTCAATGGTTAGATCGATTAACACAATTATCATCATCGGATGAAGTATCACATTATGTGTGTGATTATTCTTTAGATGTGACTAATACAGAAATAAAACAGTCTATTCGTTTAAAAACCCGTAACGCTACATTATTCGAATTGAAAAATTACCTTTTATCCAGACAAGCATCAATATTATGTATATGTGATCGATTAAATGAATTTCCTGCATTTGCTTATCATACCATTTGTTCTACATTGACTGAAATAAACATATTAGATGTAAGTAAATTCTTATTCTAACGTTATAATAATTTCCGATATATATATATATATATATCAGCCAAGACTTGACATGTCATATCCCTTTTCAAGACTACGTAATATTTAAAAGTCAAGTGAGTACGGACCGTTGTGAGTTATTCATCTACACATGGTCGCTACCTACACATCCATGTTCAGATAAGTTTAACTAACTATATATCTATATACATATGCTTGATTTGCAAGCATGAGTGTTCGGGCCTTGGCAAGAAAATTTCTTAGTCAGTTATGATCTTTTTTGCATAGCTAAACTGATTAAGTATAAAGTGTAGCACACAACGTTTGTTAGTTTATACATAAGTCGAGTTGCATTGATGTGCATATCTGGCACGATACTAAATTTCTTATCCATAAAAATTCAAGAACTTTAACAAATGGATATCTGCAAATATGTTTAAGTTGTAGGTCTTCTGATTATTTCGCTCTATTATTAAAGGGTCACTTAGATATATTATGTATTCAATATAGTTGAAATAAGATCCAAGAAAAATGCGACAGACAAATCGATGTACATGTGATATTCAGTTTCTATTAAACAAAAAAGGAGAAGGCATGTAATAAACGAATATAACTGCCATGGAAATGTTTATTTTCTGCTCTAAATCCAATCTATTCTCTCTCCAATGTTCAATTTTCTCTTACTAGTTATTTTCACTTAATACAATGGCAAAACGCTCAGCGAAAGTTTAAACAACATTATAAAATAATACTAACCTCTTCATTTTTGTGATTGGCTGATAACTAAGTACTGATCAATGACATGTTTGTTTAATCCCTTAGTGCTGAGCGTATGTTGTTGATCGAGTTGCCAAGTCACTCACCAGATAGCTTAGTGGTAACGTCTCGAACTGTGAGGCTACAGAACATGGGTCCTAATCCTTCAGGAAATATCAGTTCTCTTAAGATCGCATGTACATCTCGCTGACGAGTATCATCTATCATGGAACCTAGGTTTAAGGTTTTCTCCTGACTACTTTCAACTAACTAACATATTGATTTCTTGATAACTGTCGAATAGTGTTTGATTTGTCACTTGTCGCTAATATCTATCTCACTAGTATCATTAGTATATCAAGAAAATCACCTGTATACTAACTGTATCTTCAGCCAACTTATTTTTCTCACTGTTTGTTTGATATGATTAATCTTAGTTAAAAAATTACTTAGTAAAACACCAATTATGTTACTAAATCGTTTTATTACTTTTTTCCCCGATTTTTGTAAAAAAAATTTGTTTACTTTTGAAAAGTAGATTCAAATGGATAATTTATTTCGCGCGGTTTGGATTCTGTGTATTTGTTTAAATACACTGACAAATATCCGACTAGATTCAGATCGTTCAATGGATGATGTTAATAAATCAATTATTGAATTATTGGATACAGCTTTTTCATGCAATAATATTTTAGAGAATATTAATTTTACACGCCTTTCAAAGTTATCATTTAATAGGCAGTTGTCGTCGTCATCATCATCATCATCATCTTCATCACCGACCATAACAACACAAAGTGTATTTATCGATGCTAACAAAGATTCAAATGTTACTATTTGGTATATGAGTCATTTAGTGGATAAAATTTTCACACATTTTCGTTGTTATGAATATCCATTATTACGTAATACTTCTCATTTATCACCTATCAATAATGTTACTAGTTCATCAACAGAAAATTCATCAATAATCCATAAATTTTCATTCAATAAAATCAATAATGAAAAAGATATATTTTGTTCAGAAAATTATTCTATTGAATTATGGTTAATTGTATTTAATTATATAAAACAAATTGGACAATTCATTGGTTTATGGTGTATCAAATCGAATTTATCTATTCATCGTGAAAAATATTCATTATTCAATAAAATAATTACTGATAGTTTAATTAATAATCAACAATCAATAATTAAAGATTTTATTCAACAACAACAAAATGATAATGGAAATCAATTAAAATTAGAAATAGATCAAATGCATATAGAACAAATACAATTAGATCATTCTATATTATTTGCTCATAATCATTTAATTCCATTATTTACATCATCATTAATTTATTCACAAATTTTTACATCAATTGGACAAACATTAATTGGTTTTTTAAAATTAATACATTGTCCTAAACGTGCATATGAAATTGTTTATGATTTGGCGGATTTCTTATTGTAAGTTCACATATATATATATATATATATATATATATATATATATATATATATATATACGGTTACATAATGTATGTGGCCGAGTGGTTAAGGCGATGGACAGCTAATCCATTCGGGTTTTTTCGCGTGGGTTCTAATCTCATCCCCGTCGAGTGTCGCATTGCCCCCATATGCCCTGGTATGGCCGAGAGTGGGAAGAATAAGCTCTCCCTCTCGAAATGCTCTCATATGACCACGCGTATATCCCCTCTGCCAGGGAAGTCCTACTCACTGCCTTCTCATGGCGGGGGGGTTGTTTACGAAATTGAGAGGACGAAAAGCGCTTTAAACAGGTTAGTGGACATGGAGATTTCGCCTAGGAGAGTTGGAAAACCCTGATTCCAAACCAGTGGTGTACATGGGCTCCAGGATCCTGAAGCAACAAATGGTGTATGAACCTATTGTTGGTCACCGGTTGCCATGGGACTGCATCTCCTTACGTTGCTTCACTGCCTTGTGGATCAGACCCTTAGGTCGAAGGTTTTGGGTGTGGATTTCTAAGAAAACCACCTGCTTCGGTTTGAGCACCCGTGCAGTATCATAGCCGAGATGGTGGAGAAGATTTGTAGCTCAGGTGGATGATTTTGGTGGAGTTTCGTTCTCTGAGCTCCAGCTCAGAGAACGAAACTCCACCAAAGTATCATAGCCCTCACACAAATCAGATGAGATGTGTGACGCATATGTATTTGGTGCCTCCCTGTACCAATATCTTTGTGTTCAAATAAATAAATAAATAACCCCTTTATCCCCCTCCTGGAAATCATATTGTTTCCAATCAAACTTTCTCCTTTAAGCTTTAGATTGTGCCTCGGTTGGAAAACCGCAAATATCACCCTCTCGTTTTCGCGCTTCCATATTGTTGATTGGAACAGATTACTTTGTCGATTTTCTAGGGTCATGTTAATCACAATTAAACGCTACTGTTTGCCTTTATTTTGGCATCTAGGTGCTTAGTTAGTTTTTTTTCTCAGTAACTTTTATTTTGCAGGGTTCTTTTGCTACCTACTACAGTCCTATTATCATAACTTACATCATAGACTAATCTTTATTAGACAACCACTGAAAGCAGATAATCACTAGATGCGTTGTTCCGTCCGAGTATTGGACTCTTCGATAATGCTCATCCATGACCCCAGCTACGACGAAATTCAACACCTTTAGTCTTGCAGCGAGCGCTTCACCTCTAGACCACTTAGCCAGCATCTAATCTTATTCTTTATTTTCTAAATTTTTAATGATCATTTAGTTCACAAGGAGCTCATGAATCAGCTTCATGGTTATATGAGTCACTAATAAATCATTATGATGAATCTTCGTGGATTGGTTTAGTAACAAGTACACGTATATGCTTGGCATGGTGCTACCATTCCTTATGTGTAAAGAAGCATTTTGAAACTAAAGATGATTACGAAATTGCTCGAAAGTAGGTGAACACGTGAAGTTTGTTCTTTTTCCTTTTTATATACCTAAATCATTATCATATATTCAATAATTGTGCTTGTGTTTTCTTAGAACGGATAGATTATTACTAGTGGTGAAACCCACGACTCGCGTTCTGTTCTTTTTGGGACTCGTCGGCTGGATGTACCTGTCAAATCCCAGTATTGATATCCGTATTAGTACATCTAGCAATATTAGCTACAATCCGTCTATTGTGAAAGGGGATTTATGTCAAAACGGTTATATCAGGCCATTCAACCCAGAGGTTGCACATATACCAACAAAAGGTTGGTCAAAATTCAGTCCCGAATATCTACAATGTGATAATTCAAACTCTTACTAATAATGATATAAACTGAGTTCATGTTTATCATTTGGTTAGAAAAAAATGCGTTCAATCTGTCTCCTATATTGATCTATTTCTATTGTACAATAAGAAGGCCGAAAATTACATATCAAAAAATCAAACAGTGGTTTAATAGCTCTTAAATACGGTGTAATAATAGGGTTGTTCGCCACAAATCTAATTTTCTTTACTTCGGTTACTAACGTTGGGTTTTATATATTCAGCTCTATGTTATTGTCACATTCTGTCACGCTTCATTCGGTTACAAAAAACTCACGCTTCCCATACGTTTATCTACAAAGTAATAAGAGTGGAAAGACTAAGAAATTGCTAGGAAGCTTTAATTGTCAGAACTGAATGATAATGTACACAAATCATTATTATTTATACATTTATCCCCTCTGAACGAGATAACGACATGTTGGTTGAATAAGTGGATAATTAAATCCATCCGGTAACAAGCCTCGTTCATGTTTTGTCGCTTATCATTTAACTTTGAGACAGTATGTGCGATGCCTGGCACAGGTACGTACTATTACTTAACTCTCTCTCAGTTTATCAGCCTTGAGCATAGGCTTATTGGTTAAGGTGCTCAATTTACGACGACTAAGTCCTGGGCTCAAATCCAGCTACACCTGCTTTAATTTGGACAACTGGATAGTATCATTAGTTTTCACACTTAGAGTGTGGTTCATACCCAAGTAACCCAGTAAATAAGTTAGTTTAATACATATTAATGTATCCATGTTCATCGAATTTTATATTCGTCTTTTTCTCTTAACTACAGCGTATGTGTTTAAAACAAAGAATAATTATCTGATTTGACAGTTAACTTCTCACGATATAAAACATGTTACAAATAGTAATAAATGATTATAGTCCAAAAGCATTCTTTTTTTACACAGTATAAAACTGGGAAACGAAATTAGTCATATTTATTTATGACTTAGTGAATTAGTGCCAGTCATTGCCATTTTCTTAAACACTACACAACATTGTATTAGTGTTTTGTAGAATAAGTACTAATTGTATACTTACTTACTTACGTCTGTTACCCCTCGTGGAGGGGAATAGGCCGCCCACCAGCATTCTCCATCGAACTCTGTCCTTTCCACTTATTATTCATCCTTTTCATATCCGCTTCAGATTCTCGACATAGTGTGTTCTCTGACCTTCCTCTTTTCCGTTTCCTTTCAAGATTCCAAGTTAGCTCATGCTTCGTGATGCCGTTTGGTGATTTCCGTAATGTATTTCCTATTCACATCCATAGTTTTTTTCCTAATTTTCTCTTCATCTAAGCGGGTTTGTTCTCTCCCATATTAGGCTGTTACTGATGGTTTTCGACCAACGGACATTGAGTATCTTGCGTAGACAACTGTTTATTAATACTTGTACTTTGTTGATGATGGTTGTAGTAGACTAATTAAATAGTTTAACTAGAAAAAATATTTCATTATTAACATTTTCTAAAATGAATGTATATTCATTTTCAGTTTAATGATTCTCCTCATTTATATAGATACATTCAAATCTGTTTCATCTTAGCCGGTACAAAACATTCTGTATTACGTACAGCTGCTATTCATGTTTACAATAAAATTCAATTTTGGTATCAAACAATAAATTTTACACAAATTTTATCGATACCATCATTTAATGATTCAATTAATCCAAATTATTGGTGGAAAGAAGCTGTTGAATTTCGTAATTCTTTATTAGCCTATCATCAATGTATTGTTTTGAATCCTTATCAAATGTCACCATTGTTTCGTTTAAAATCTGTTGAATTGGAAGGTGTTTGTAATTGTGGTTATCAATTGATTTTTATTCAATTAAAGTCGAATTCAGACAGAACATTTAAAGCATCGTATGTTATATTATGTTTAGTTTTTTTCTTTAGAATAACTATTTTTCCTTTTTTCTGAAATCACTTATGAAACACATCTTACTATTTCTAAGAGTTGGTGTTTATCGAAATTTCGGCACAGATTCAGAAAGCTGGGTTAACCTTTGCTAATTTGTGTCATATGTAGCATAGTTCAGATGTCTATCTGGAGATCAAGGGGCAAATGTACTGCTCACTAGTCCACTTTGTACTGTTCTATAGATGTGAAAAATAGTCTTTATAAATAGAATATATGCACATACTGGACTTTTTCAAACCATTCATTGGGCATCACTAGAACAGCTGAGCTTTAATTAGTTCAATTCATAAAATGTTGTTTATTTTTGACTACGTAAAGCAGCTATTAAACGTTTACCTAAGAAATGCTCAGGTTACAGTCCATTTTCCTCATAATCTCTAACTATTCACCATCTCAATGATCTGTATTCTTTGAAAATGTTTAAATCATTGTATTAACCGATAAATCCTGCTTAATTTGCTCCCTGTCTATTCATAATTTACATCTGCTGCAGAGATATTTGTATTAGCTTACTGGGAAAAGGTAAATTGAATGAAGAGATAATTCATTTGAACGCTGGAATAGAAGTATGCTAACTGCTTTATAACAAAGATGTTATTTGAATCTATTTGTTGTGTGTGGAGCTTGTGGATATTGAGCATTATATCTTAAGTTAAAGTTTGACTCAACATATTTTCGTGTTAACGGTGTTATGATTTCTTTAACATTCAGATAGTAAATACAGCTGAAAACTTAGTGCTATAATTTGCTTTAGTTTCTCTATTTCACCAAGGCTTATACTGTTCTTATATTGCCACACCACCGTCTTAATATGCGATGTTTGAGTATGGGTAGTACATGTCTCAACCACCTTATTTGATCAAGATTCACTACTTCACCAAATGATTCGCCAATCTTTACCTTGTACTCTTCATCTTACCCCAGCATTGCTCACTCAGTGGTCCCAAAATACACGAGCGATATTTCTGTGACGCATATGATCGAATACTAGTAACCTATGTCTTCCTATTCTTAGCGACCATGCTTTACACCTATAAAGTAGGACAGAACAGTTTACTGCTCGGTAAAATATTTGGTTGGTAGGCAGACATCTCGATATGGAAATGAAATGTTTTTGTATATTTATAGGAGTACTTCATTTTTACAAAAATAATCTTGATACAAATACCTCAGTACTTAAATCTCCTGTGTAATCGTATTTTACAAATGATTACTTGTAAAGCGTTTTGACATTCATATTAAGCATAACTAACCATATTTTTAATACTTGAACCATCAAATAAAGACTCAACAGAGGTGAATGTAAATTATATATCTTCAAAATGACGACGGTGGATTTTATTCTTAAAGAAGCCTTTAATTGAGTCTGGAAAAATGTCTAAAATTTATTGGTTTATAAGTCGTACTGAAAATAATTGAAGTACAGAACAGAAAATGTAGTTCCAACTAAACATAAGTAGCAACGAGTAATATGACATATGCTATTTAATTCTTAATCTCTAATGATAAACCACAGATTATTGGGTGTATTAACAATATGTCCATTACTTCGACTAACTTCAAGTTGATAAATGTGAAGTAGGTACTGATAATTTTGTCCAGAACGACAATCGAAGTTCAGGAATTCAGTCATCTTTCTCAGATAACACAACACTACTTAAAACTGCCATCTGACCTCCAAATCTCCATCATTTCAAAAGTGTTCATTGGTTTCTGTTTCCTGTTTGTGTAAACTCCGTTCAAATTAATCATATCCCAAGAGTTTTCAATCAGTTTCTCAGTTATTCACTATATCATAAATTGTTTATGCATTATAAAGTTGTACACTTTATATATAGACAACTTATATTACTGTACAATTTTTTCTATGACTACAGAGTACACATTAGTGGATCAGAACCTTCGTACATTGACTGGCAAACATTGTTGAATCCAAATGAATTTCTGCCTTATCATGTAATGGATAAAACTAATCAATTATTGATACCACAGTTAGATAGCCAACTACATTTGATCAATTTGACTACTGCTCCTAGTATCTCTGTTGTCAAAAGCTTAGCAGGTAGTAATGTGAATAACCCGATAATTATTGGTAGTGATAATAATAATAATCGTAATAGTAGTAATAATATTAGCACTGGCAGTCATAAAGTTATCTTACGTGGTCAATTCTCTACTTCATCTGAAAAAAATTCAAGACAATACAATAAGTACCATTTACCAACAACCGAAATGACTGTCTCGACTCGTCGAAGTTATTCCAGTATACCAGATAGTTCTAAAGAATATCTGAATAAAAATTTAGCACTTAAAGGAAATCAATTGAGAATTAGTAAAATGAGTCAGTCACGTTTAGGTTCATTGTTAAACGTTGCTGCATCATTGGCCAGTAGACCAGCATGGAAATCTCAAGATACTATAGGCGTTATGAGTGATGAGCATAATAATACTCCTATTTCTACCCCACATATAATACAGAATGGCAGAATTACACGGATTCCTTCTGATGGTTTAATCGGTAAGCATAAAAATTATGAAGGCATTATAAGCATACATTTATACTATTTTATTATTTAAAATAAAATTTTAATGAAATAATGACTTTCGAAAATGTAAAAGGAAAAACATGAAATATATAATAACTATAACATAATTTATAGTGGTCTAATCAGAACTTGATTAAAGTGAATACATTTGTTCTGCTACACGTTTATCTTATGAAAATATAAATTTTCTGCAGTGTTTTCATCATTTAAATGTATGACTTATTGGAAGCAAATAAACAAATTCTGATGTATTAACTTATACCTACATGACAAACATAGCTTTTCATTCTTTCGGTGTCTGCTTCCAATTCATGATGCAGTGTTGTTTTTTGGTCTACCTCTTTTCTTTTTGCCTTGATGATTCCAAGGTAAGGCTTACCTTGTGATACAGTTTGTTGGTTTTCGTAAAATCTGACCTATCCACTTCTAGTGTCTTTTCCCAATTTCCACTTCAACTGGAAGTTGATTTGTTCTCTGCCATAGTAGGTTATTGCTGATGCTGTCTGGCCAACGGATCCGGAGTGCCTTGCGTAGACAACTATTTATGAATACCTGTACTTTTTTTGATGATGGTCGTAGTATTGTGAACTAGAATATATGTAGGGATAACCGAATGTATTTTATTGCAAAATTACAGAATGTCTTAGTCAAGTCTGAGAACCACGTGCGAGCTGCTGAGGAGTCTCATACTAGGAAGAAATGGTCGTACAATACTTTCAGGTTTTAATGGTTCTCTAACCTCGATTGGTTTATGATTCTGATGAAACTAGAATACTGTTCGATCTTTGAATACCATTTGTAATTTTAGGCTGTTCGACCTGAAAATCCCTCATTAGAAGAGAGTTTCTCTAAGGAAAATATTAAATTAAGCTAATTTAGTCAACAGCGGGATAATATCACGAGTTACACTCATATGATAACTATTTCCCATTAGAATTTCATACATCATTCCGTGTAATCATAATTATGAAGTCCATATAGAGTTTCGCTGTTTTACCATTCCAGCTCCCAATTCTTTTTAGTTTCACATAGAAATTAATTCATGGATCGTATTCTTCAAATTTTTAGATATACCATAATCCATTTCTTAAATAAAACAAATGATTTCAGCAAAGAACAAGTTCGAATAATCTCTTAATGGCTAATTGATATTAGTCGTATGATTGCTAGAATATATGAGATTCTCAACAATATTTTTCGCGTATATTTAGTAATTATCATCTGTTAAAACAGATATTCTTGTAAAACCATATATAATATTATTATTATTAGTGGCTTTATTCAATATTATACTTTTGGTACAATATAGAATTCTCAGCACAAATTATCTTAACAAGTTTCGGTTCCTTATTTCTTGATCGATCTTGACGATCAGTATTAAGTGGTCGTCAGTTAGATATTAATATTACAGGAATCGATATTTGAATAATGTTCATTCTTTTCAATCCATATTGCCAGCAATCATGACGTCTCTGATTGGGCTTTTTTTGTAACTTATAAAGCGAAAGGTCGTAAACTTTTCATGAACGCGCCTGGATACGTTATGAGACTAATAGACATAATAATGTGTTAAAACAAACAAGAAAACAGATAACTTGTTGAAATATCTAGATGGCAGGAACAGGTAACCCAGGTATTCAAACAGGCCGCCTTTATTATTAAATAGAGAATATTCATTATGTATAACCTAAAAGTTACTTTTATTCGTTTACTGTAATTCATCTTTGAACTAGTAGACATTATAAGTTATATACAATCACTCAATGTTTTTTTCTTTCTTTTTGATTTATAGGACTACTATTGTTAAACCTCATAGGCCAACTGTTTGCATCATTAAGTCATAGTTATTTAAGAATCTCGGTCTGTATTCATCAAATCTAATGACTTATCCATTATTGTTGTGTTTTTGTTGTTGTTGTGTTAATCCTAAAACTATTTTTATACCGTAAATAATCGGGTATTTACATCCTAAGTATCAGATTCTAACAATATTTAATTTAACCTGTTTAGTTAATGAGTATGCAATCTTTCTCCAGTTGTGTGAAAGTTTCTTATTCGTTTTCATCAATGTCTTCAATCAAATATTTACTTTTGAATTGATAAACTAAAAATTAGTCATTCAATTCACACGATTAAACATTGGTAATTGTTCCCTATTCTTTGTTGATGTAATAAAATATATCTTATTTGATTCAGACATTTTGGTGCATAATATTAGTGTGACCTTAGTCCTCTATGATTGAACCAAAGATATCAATGTATCTGATATGCTAACACTTGTTGGTTCACACGAAATCCATATTCCTAAATGCTAATCAGAACAAAAGAATAATACAACCAATGTAACTATTGTTTATCCTAATCCAAAAACACAATCATGTAAATGAATTAAAGTATCACAAAACACGATTAGTAATAAACTACAACGTTTACCAGTATGAATAAAGCCCCTAAATGCTCTGGTATGGCCAAGAATGAGGAGAGTTCACTCTTCATCTCGAACTGCTTTCATATAGCCACACGTATATGATCATTGCCAGATAAGTCCTATTCACTGCCTTCTCATAACCGTGGTGTTCTTTACGAAATTTAGAGGATTAGAAGTGAATGTCTGGTGCTTAAACTGGGTTAGTGGGTACGGAGAATTCATTTAGGAAAGTTGGAAATCAGGCTTGTAATTAATTTACAATAATTTCAAGACCTTAAAAGATATGATAACAGTTGACTAGTCAAATCAAGGTTTACAATTAAATGAATATAAAATTACAGATTGTTCATAAATTATCTTCTAAATTATAACATCTTTATGTATTTGTCCCATTTTAACCGACATAGAAATGGACTAATTCAGAGAAGTTTAAATTAAATACAATGAATGAATTCATTCGTTCCGACTAGTCTCTCTCTTCGTTATAATCAACTTTATGCATAAAGTTTAGTTTGAATGAATTAAAGAAATACTTGAAAAAATTTCATAGTTTTATTACTAATATATAACCATATGACTATTCATATGTCTTTGTTTTTCTTTCCAACTTAACTCTACTATTAACTATTTATCAAGGTGCTATATGCTTTGAAATTTGTCATTCATTTACAAAACCATAATTTCATAAAACAAGTATACATCATTTATTTGAAATCTTGTATGTTCTATCTTGACTTACTTACTAACGCCTGTTAGCCTTCATGGAGGAGCATAGGTGGTCGCACACCAGCTCGTTCTAAATTGACTTATCATTATAATGTATGAATGATCAATCAGCAAATTAAATTATACATGTATGTATGTAATGAATAATAAGCTCATGAAAATCAAGCAATGCTATAAAACATTCTTATCATATCTATGCTTAGCTCTTCCATTTTATCTTATAAACTAACTTGTGAATCTCTTCGCTTGTAAATTTATCAGAAACTTTTTTTTTATAAAAAAAACCACATAAACTTTGTTACGTTTGATCATTACTTCCTTACAAAATCTATGCTTTACGAAAGTGATGTTATAATATTGTTAGAAATGGGATTTAGAATGCACGTCTGAACCTATTCAAACTTATTGTTAATATCAATAATAGGGAGACCTGAATCCTTACATCTGACTTAAAACTCATTAAACAACTTAATGGTTTTATGAACTCAAATAGGTCAGTGAATAACATATTGGCGTTTGAACTGAGTTTGAGTCCCAATATGGATACCAACACGGGTATTCAGGTATATTCAACTGATGAGTCTTGAATAAGGCGAAAAGTACTTGCTGAACTCCACTAGTAGCTACAATCCAAATTTACTAAAATTTATAACTAAAAGGCAATATCGAGGTAATCATCTCAAGATGTAAATATATATCGCAATATCAAGTTCAGTCCTTATTATCAACAACAGAAAGATTCAAACCCTTATATGTATTACTTTATTTATTTTCTCTTTCAGAACCAAATATTCATAGTTCAATACAAATTTTAAGACAACATTCACTCTGTCCAACGAAAAAACGATCACGTATATCATTCAGTATTAATGGTAAACACGATATGTTTGGAAATGAAAATAGGGAATCATCTACTCTTGTTTCAACTAAAAATCCACTTTTTATTTTAAATCATGAAGATTCTTTTGTAATGATAAAACCTGGGTTAAATAAATTGTCATTTATAGCTAATGTAAGTCGATTTGTTCCATTTTCTAATTCATTTAACTTTTTATATCAATAATATTTTGTGATGATGGAGAGGATTTGTAGCTCAGATGAATGATTTAGGTTGGACTTTATTTTCTGAGCTGGTTGGTTTAGTCCAACTCAGAGAACAAAACTACATTTAAATGGTATTTTGTCTTTGAGAGAATACATTGTCAACTGACTGCGTTGCAAATCAGTTATAAATTATAGAAAAACTAGTATGTTCGATCAGAGTAACCCGTGACTGGCTAATGAGTTTAAATAGACATACTATTATGCATCACATATCTGTTATAATCGGATCCGTCACCTGTTTCAACTTTGTGTCATTATACTCTTTTAATATCAATATATAATTCCTGAATAGACGGTCAAACTTTAATTAGTCGAGTACATGTGATTTAGACGACCCCAACATACGTAGATTGCTAGTATTCTATCATAAATACTTTCGAGATCTTGCTTGAATATGATTAAATGATGGAATGGTGAATATGGGAGTTAGGTGTAAGGTTTTAGATGGAAGTACCAAGTTGATTGACATGGCCATTGAGAAATTCACTTGGATAACACACTTGAGGTCGGTTAAGTCGAATAAATATCTTTGCTGCTCAGAGATATTTATGTGTAGAACATATAAGAGATTATTTTTTAACAAATCATAATTAGCTTATGTTAAACTCACATTCAATGTGGTAAAAACAATTACAACAGTCTATTTGCAAAGCAGTCAAGCCAAAGAATGATAGGTTCAAAATGACTACCCAAACAAAATAATTGTTAGCCAACAAGAGAACAGTTTGGTTGATTTAACCAATAAGATGCTAGGAAAACGAATAATTAATGATATATAACAATTATAATATTAGAGCTTCACAGTCTATACCGCCCCGAGATGAAGAATCCCTGAGTACTTTTATCATTTCATCTTATCACTATCATCTCTAGTTTATAGATTGAGGTTAGAATTATGATAGATTCAATCAGTATAATTGTAGTACGCAAGCTGATTGGTCTACCAGGGTTCTTGGTACCAGTGTGTTTGTACTCCAGGGTTAATCTGTGCTACGCAGGTTATGTAAAAATCCGGAGTGTTTGGTTCTACTGAAAACCAGTTTGAAATTATCCTATTGCACGGTATATTTACAACAAGCTGATATTTTTCGGACATATTTTTTATTAGTTTAGGGGTTGTGGAGATTGTTAAGTTTTTTTTTATTGAGATCACGAAACGGCCGTCCAGTGTTTCCAGGTTTTCAATGGTTGTCTAATATTTTTTTAATTATTGCATGCTTTGCTTTTTTGATGTTCACGTTAGTCGCTTCATCCGATAAGCCGTCATTGTAGACTGTCCGACCTATATAATTGAAAGAGCTCAGTTATTCAATAAAGTAACTATCAATAAGGACTATGTTACGGCGGGATGGAAGGTCAAAATTAGATTGATTTACTCATTATGATTTTTATTCAACATTAATTCCATTTAATGCAATTTAATGATCACTCAGTATAATGTTTGTTTCGTTTTTCCGTATGACATTTTATTCTGTATAACATACGACATTCTTGTATGAATTATTAATCAAAAAATGGGTGTACAAACCAACATATAAATGAGTGTATTTCCGACTAGACGGGGTCGTTGTTGCTCGTGCTTCTGGCTGCTTGCGGAATAAATTTCCCCTTCTCGAACATGAACTTCTCTCTCTAGTTATCGGGGCTGGGACGCATCATAATAGCTAGCTTATTGGTCTATGATCACAGAGTCTTAGTTCCGTTCACAGACTAGGTAAACTCGTAATCCCTTCAAACATAGCAGACTAATAAGTCCACACCCTTTGCACTAATGATTATCATTCTTGTTCTTCCCTATGATATCTTCATTGTGTGGCGTCATTGCTGGCTGTTGTCATGAGACACAGATTGTCAACATGTTTAATATATGAAATTTTCCACGTCTCTTTGGTGTTATGTGTCGGGTGTAATCCTATATTCATTTCTTCGATAGTGGATCACCTGAAAACAAACTTGAGAAAAATATACCTTATTACTCTGCTTTACTCCTCTATACATCGTGAGGTATGATTTATCTTCTTTTAGATAGCCTTTCGGCTAGTCAAGTAACCATTTAATACAATGTTGAATATTGGCAAAAGTATAGATCTTTTCTTCATGGATTGCTATGGGAATTCTATTCACTTTCAGTTTTTATCGGTCATCTTTCTCAGATTCGAATAATAATTTTCCTCTTTGTTTTCACCGCTTAAGCATCCTGTTGACGCATAGCAACCAACTAGGTTAATTTCAAGGTCAAATATATTATTTACCGTAATTGTGACGCATCTATTTATTCGTAATTCGAGACGAAAATTCCTTTTTTCCTATTGACCCTAAGTAGTTGGAGAATCCTGGTTGACTTCCAATAAGTTTTTATTCATCTTCCTTCCCTTATATATTAATTTTTATTCCTGATATTTTTTTATTCGTTGTTAAAACTCCTTTTTTCAAAATATTATGATTGAGTTCAGCCTCATTCAATTACTGATATCGTTATAATTTTAGCTTTTCCACCTTACGTTGCTGTCCGAATTTATTGTCTTAATTTTAGTCAGTGCTCATTTGTCCAAGGCCCTGTGTTTAGCTCCTCAAGATTAATCCTATGGTACTTTTCAACTCATTATTTAGCGATAGAGAAGAATGTGCGTTTATCATCTGCTCATATTAGATCACTGATATTTTCATTCTTTCTCAAATTAACGGTTAAAACTATGATGTCTTTAACCTTATGATAGTGGATTGGTTAACTAGTTATGATTAGTCCACTTCCAACGAAAAATTAGAATGCACAATAGTAGTAAGAAAATAACCGATTCTTGTAGTTACGTAATCTATAATATGTATATGGTTTGTGATTTATGAATAGCATAGCGGTTAAACCAGTTGGTTTCTTGTGGATTTACTATAACGTCTATTAGAGAGTTATTAAACGTTAGTTGATTAATTATTAGTAACCAATGTCATGTTTCTGGTCTAGTCCATAAAGCCGACCAAATTTTCTGATCAAGTCTCAGTATAACCACCAGTCTAATTGATTCGATATCACATGCATTATGTTTTGATGTAACATGATTGAAACTAGTTAACTAAAAACCCTATGGGCCTAAATTTCTTGCTAGTTGATAATCGTCAACAATAGATATCTGAACGGATGTTCCCTATGGTAATAGAGTTTTCCGCCGACTTCCTTCAACTTAAGGATACTAAAGTTATTCAAGAATATGAAACAAAATACACGTGAATCGTTGTTTAGATGTCTAGAATATATCTAGATGAAGACCACTAATTAAAATGTTGCTAATACTTTTCACCGTATTGAAAATAATCATTCAAGGTTATAACATATTCATGAAACAAAGGACTTAACAGCTTACACTTTTTTTTACAGAACATGTGATTTCACAGAAGTGTTTTTATCTCATTGTAGTCAACGAACACTCAAGTGAGGGAGACCAATTTATTAGTTAATACAAAATTACACAATGTCTTCGTAAAGTATGACAAGCATACATTAAATACTTCATTTGCACATTGTCCACCAGTTTTCTCTTACAAACTTCATGATTACTTCACTCCTATTGTTATTACAATTACTGTATGTTTACATTTCTGCTCTCTTCAATTCGATCTTCTCAACCTTATATTGTCAGACATTCCACTTCTGAATGGTGTTGCATACTGCTTATGTAAACAGACATAAGTAGCATGCACCACAATATTACCTGGATAAAAATAAAACAACCACTTCACGTAGATTTTCTGTAAATTCTCTTCGTTTTTGTTCTCTAAGTTTTCGCAATTTATCATACAACGTATTTTTATTTGTTTTGGTATTCTTGGATTACCTTGACGACCAAGGACATTTGTAAAAAACTATTGTTCGTAAAGATAATTTAACAGTTTCTGAGAAGTTTCAACCTCATATAACTACCAAACTTTCGTAAATGCATCTTATTTATAACAGGATGTATTTTTCAAAAGCGCTTTCCTTTTAATCATAAATCTTTTGTATTTAATTGATGCATTTGTCATTGCCACCATTCACAAAGTGAAGTTTCTTACCGTGTCCGCTTTTTCTACTTCATTATTGTTGACAAATTGAAAATGTTTAAATACTTCACATACTAGAAGTATAATACATGTCATTCTACTTCTGACAACGTCATCAGAATTTATATGCAGATTATGTTAGAACTTTAAACACAATATATCTGTGTTTGTATTTTCGTTTGTCTTTTATATTCTGAAGTAGGTTACAGTGAATAATACAATTTATTCTTTGATTTATATTTCCCAAATTATTCGATGCTTTTATACGCACATCAGAATAAAATATAACAGTGTTTAGTGGGTTAGATCATTGAAACGTCATTATATATTTATTAGATTGTTAATATATGTCTTGTCGTTTTTTTCATATACTTTAGGCACCAGGATTTTTAATTCCTGAGAAAATTTTCATTAATTGTCTTGATGAAATCAATACTGAATTAAAAGAAGCATTAACAGAACAAGAATCTGTGGAACCGTCAATTAATAGTCGTTCCGAAGTAAATTTCGTATCAGATATAGATGGTGATGTTTTTGGATCTAGTTGGCGTGATACTGCAATGATGAAAACATTGTTACCTAAACCAGAGATTTCAATATCAAATAACTTGAGTGGTAAACGATATCCAGGTAATTTAGTGAATAAAAATAATGGGTAGTGGTCTTATATTTCTTCCAAAATTTCTCCATTTTTATTCAATATCTACGTATTTCACTAATTTGTGTTTTCACAGATACTACTAAAAACAGCTAAAGGTTTCATAATGAAGCTCTTTTTCTTTCAGCCTGGAATATAGTGTAGCTTAAGGTGAATAACTTGATCCGAATAAACAGTTATAAAACAAGATGTTCAATATCTATTAGCGTTATTATAACCAGCAATGGTTTAGTCATTGCCTGAAGATTTCTAGCAACCAACTTTTTCTCATGAGTAATATAATTGGCTACTTTGCTTTTTACTACACAGCTCAAATCACTGACTTAACAGGATTTCTTTTTCTTGTACATGCCTTAAACTACTTTACTAAATTCATGTTAAAAATATATTTTTGTAATGGGTACTTATGATAATTAGGAGTATTTGAATTATAGTACGAACTAAGAATCTTAGAAATAACGCAATCGGATCAAGAAGTACTCAATAAGCACGAATGGAGTACAAAGGAATCATTAGTTCATTCAAACACCACAGTACTAAACCTGAATCATTTCAATGAGGAAGTCAAATTCACGTCATCGGTACCTTCTAATCGTATAATTAATCATTTAGTCTGTTGTTCACGCATAAATAACTTCCTAAAATTAGGGGGGACTGAATATTTTTCTGTCACCTTGCCAGGTTGATCGAGTTTGTTTATATTGGTGACTCAATTTATCTATGTGGGTTGGAGTATTTGTTTCTTTAATAGATCCAATCATTCCAGCCAGGTTGACTGGATAGCTAATTGTAAGACTAAGAGAAGCGACTTAAAGTTATTGGGTGGAGTTGCACTGCTGACTGTACTAGTGTGTGACAACTGTAAGGTGTTATCTTCATACATATCAGGTACAGAAGTTTAAGAAACCAACAAAATGGACCACTAGGAAATATTATTAGCAGTTGTACATTGTTTATATATTCCAGCTACATATCTGTTCAAGCAACTATTACGAAAAAGTAAACAGGTTTTGTCGGTTCTATCCTGGACACTAGATACTCAATAATGATATCAGTGGGACTGGGCACTAGATTAATAGGCTTAACAAGACACAATACTCGATCAATCCAGCCACTCAACTCATTTATCCAACTACGATCAAGAACGAGATTAAGTCTGCAAATGGATTTATCAGCAGACCAGTTCAAAGTAATCAACAAATGGAACGAGACTGAAATCGGTTTTATGTATGAAATAGTTTCGTATGTTTAGTGTCCTCTGATATGTTTGTCCTCTCTCATAAGCCAATCACGGCTTGACTTGACTGACTTATCAACGACCTCAACAGAATTATTGAGACATGTGAAAGATGTTTCACTTTTTTGATGTGAAACTTTTCAGTATCATGCCTAGATCAATCTACTTGTTGCATTGTTTGAACTACTTTCATTTAGATATCCAACACCCAGATACTTAAAATATTAATTATCTACTCTATGAATCATTTTTGAACCTGTTCTTAATCTCTTAGTTTAAAGTATACTCTTGTTTACTTTAATTATTATCTATAGTTGTGTTTGGTACATGTCAACCAATTCCAGTTCAATTAAGATTGGGCAAACTAGGCTTATCAGAAGATTGTAAGTTAAGCACAAGTCTATATCGTATTCGTTCAAATAATAAAAATTTTGTATTCAAGACTAAAGAGGAAACAAATCTCATTAAAACTTATAATAACCCTAATGGTAATGATGGAAATGAAACAATTTTCAATAATCAATCCAGTACCACTGTTGATGGTGGTTATCAAATATGTAATCAATATAGTGAAAATGATTATTCATTAATTTCTAATTCATCGGAAAATCATCAAGATGAACATTTGCATAAAAAGCATCAAACTTTATTTAGTCAATTTATTTTAGAAGATGGACCAGTTGATTTTATACGAGAATATAATCCATTATCACAAAGTTTAAAATGTAAAATTAATCATCCTATGCCAACATTTCCACCTGGATGTTGTTTACAATTAAGTAGACCATTATATCTATCGGCTACATCTTGCAATGATCAAGTAAGTACATATACATATATGTATTTCTTTAAGTAAATTGATTATTTTTCATTGTAATGATGGGTTTTCTTATTTTCATTTACATTGAACCTTGTCATCAGTATATTGGTTCTGAAAACAATTAGTTATTCATACCTTGCCATATTGTTTGCTTGATATGAAAACGTTTAAGTCTATAGAGAATTTAGACCATTGAAATTACACTTGAAAACTCGTGAAATAAACTTATGCATCATCATAATAGCTTATAGTCAAGCTATCGTATGTATGAGTACCTGACCATTATCAAACAGCATATCCCTTTTCATTTTTCAATGATAGCTCTTGTTCTCTAAAACCAACTTTGAATATGCGGAATTTCCGTAATCGAACTTCATGCTTCATATCTTCCATATGCTTTACATCTTTTTTTTTATTGGTTGAACCAAGAAAATCAGCAGGATAAAATCTACTAACTTTGACAGACTATACACATGTGACGCGAGAGTCGTCATTATTAAGTACTTATCCACCCCATAATAGGGAAAAGCCGTGCATTTCCCTTTAAACATCCTTATACGACCGTGAATTGATAGTCTCTTTAAGAGAAGTGCTTTTCTGCTCGCTTAACGTGACAGGATTCTTTCGACAAAAACTAAAGAATCAAGGTAGATTATATATCTTGCTCCTTGATTCTCAACACATCGGTTTCAAGATACGTAGGAATTGAATCTACTGTTGTTGGTCTTTTGTTTTATAGATTGTTTCTGTGACTTGGTTATTTCCTAGGAAAACCCAGTGATTCAATTTGACCATTTGGTATGTATCATAAGCCCCTCCTACAATAAGGTGTATTATTTATTCAAATTATTTGCAATTTACTTATAATCATACTCGGTTTATACTGTTTCTGAACTCAATAGTTAAATAATGAATTTTAGTGTAAACGAATGAATGTTCATTATAATCAATAAAGAACTTTTTCGTTTTAGTTTGCACTTTCAATGCCTAGCGGACATTATTGTATTCTACCAGTAGATATTATCAAACCGCTTGGATTCAATTTGAATATATTCCCTTTACCTAAAACATAGTGAGTGAATAATAATATGCTTACTAGTTATATATTTATTGTTAACAAACATTACTTCTTGAAGTGTTAGGAAGAATATATGCCTCAGAAATGAATGTTCTCTAAATTGTCTTGCATTCTTTGTACTGAATGTTACATTTAAAAGTTTTCATTATTGTTGGACATCATGTGACGAACAGCGCACACGCCTACTTGAAGGTTATTTACCTAAATTATTATTGATCGAGTCAAGGCTTACGGTATACCATCATCTGTACTGGCCACGTTTTAGATACGCTCCTAGAGATCGTCTGACTTTTTAGGGAATGACATACTATTAGGATATTCAATTATATACCTGAAATACGAAAACGATGCAGTCATGTTGACAAATTAAGTACTTACTTACTTACGCCTGTTACTCCCAATAGAGCATAGGTCGCCGACCAGCATTCTCCATCCCACTCTTCACAAATTCTCGAGTTTAATTAATCCTGCTTTAACTGAAGAATGTTGCTTCAGAGCTTAACATTGTTAACCCCTCAGCCTGACTATAAGCTGTACAATTATGAAAATCCAACCTGGCTGTTACCAACTTACGCCATGTGCTTATTCACGAGGATCTCACAGCTTAGAACGTCTATGAATAATGGCAAACCCATACTTCATCAACCAATTTTCACTACTACAAATATTTAATCCATATAGTAGTTAACTCACTTAGCAGGTCGTCAATAAAAGTCAGGCAGCTCAGAAAATTCATACATATTCAAGAAATTACGGAATTCCAAGCCGATTTATTGATGTCACTAAGTTAACTAGACCAAAACAACCGTATTTAATCCTGTGACAAAGTAGTTAAGATTCAGATGAATGGATTTCTAAGCGTCTGCAGTTCATTCTGATATCCTAAAGACTTTACAATGCATTCTACAAACCTCAATAATTTTCATATGCTCAAGCCAGTAGTTTCTCTTTACGACAAACAGATTTTCAAGTATAAATAGAGAATAAGTTGACGACAATCACATTTTGTTACGTACTAGTTTAGATAAGCGTTGTACATGTTGAAAAGATTTTCGCTGTTACATTCTTTTTCGGAAAAATGATATTTAGATGCAACTTTGAAGCGTTATTAAATTTAATTTGTGGGGATTATAAAATAGTACAATAGTATCTAAAGGATACGTACTGCTTTTAATGTGTGGTATTTATCTGACCCTAAATATATGTATCAATATGTTAGTTCTCGTACATATTTCGTGCTACGCGATAAACCATCCACAATCCTGAATTAGGATTAGAATGAATTAGTGTTTCTGGATGTTCTATGTTGAATTGAAACAATCTGAAAAGATTTTAGGAACTATTATTTAATAAGTTATAACATCAAAAAGCCTATCATGATATTTACCCACAGAATATTAACAATCTGATGCACCGATGCATATGTAAAGGGACTATTTGACAAAGCAAGGCAAACATTCCTACAATTAAAGAACATATGGAACTCAAAATAACTGTTCGACAACACCAAAGTTAGAATTTTCAATACAAACATCAAGACAGTCCTATTGTACTGAGCTAAAACTAAGAGAACTACTACAACCGTCATCAAAGATGTACAAGTATTCATAAATCGTTATCTATGCAAGATACTGCGGATCCGTTGGACAGGCACTATCAGCAATAACCTACTATGGCAGAGAACAAAGCAACTCCCAGTTGAAGTAGAAATTGGGAAAAGACGCTAGAAGTGGATAGGTCAAATTTTACGAAGACCAACAAACTGTATCACAAGGTAAACCTTACCTTGGAATCGTCAAGGCAAAAAGAAAAGAGAGATGGAAGAGGACAGTGCGTCCTGAATTTCAGGCAGACACCAAAAGAATGAATAGCACTTGGGAATGACTGGAAAGTGAAGTCCAGGACACGGTTTGAAATTACTGTTCAGTGGCCTATGCTCCACGAGGGTTAACAGACGTACGTAAGTAAGCTGTACCGAATAGTTCTAATCCAATTGATAAACATATTCAATATATCTACCGACGCAAACGCTTGGTCAGTTTTTCTCCTGTTACATGCATTTCCTAAATTTTTCAGCTCCTTATACTGCCATGACCTAAGATAGTTAAAAAAGACGCTCATTCATTTGTGTCTATTGTTTTCAGAAAGATACAACTTTTCACCACATACTTCCTAACCAAAATTAAAACTTTTTCTGTTGTTCATTCTTATCCACACTTTGAATTTAGCGTTATCTTCAGTCTAAACATTACTTGTGTGGACACTGACCCAGATTCAACTATAACACCAGAAGCATACTGCAGTCAAAATCTACTTTGCAAAGACCCAATAACATTTGAATTGTCTAATATGCGATTCTATATTTGTGCTTCAAAACTTTACTTATCCAGACGTCTAGCACTAAGTAGTTCCTTTTCAAATGGTCAGAATCAACCTTATAATCGTCAACTGAAATCACATAGCTATCTCTCGTTGGAAGATAGTCATCAAATTACTGGGGATATTACTAAAAATGATGTCCTAGAAACAGGTTCCGGGGACAAATTATACGATACTGTCAATCAAACCATTGAATCTTTAACCGGTGACCTTCTGGACAATAGAATCACTAAGGCTGTATGTTTATCGTTGTTACTGTATTGTTATTGTTTTTTTTTAATTCTCCAAATATCTCTAACTCAGTGTTACCTTATGGTGTAGGCAGTGGTTATCACCCGCGTCCTAATATTTCGGATCACCACATATCCAAGTTATACATCTTCAAGACATGAAAATTTTTTAATCGCTAAAATTATTTTTAATTGTGAATACTAGACCATTTCTTCTTTGGTTAAGATTAGAGAATGATATACTGAAGAAATTTTGAAAAGTTCTTCCTTCCCTTGACCAATAAGTTTGATCATTGTAGATAGCCATCTATTTGTCGTTTCAGTAAAATATCGAAATAGTAAAATTTCATAGTTCGCCTCGTGACTCTTTTGTTGTTAAAAAGACCATTCAAGAAACTGAGATAATTGTTCTCTTAAACATTGATTTGGTCGATGGATGTAGGTTAAAAACAAGTATTTATAATCCTTTCAATTCTTTGTTTGTACAGTTTCATCATAGAGTGATGAGTAGTTTAAGCATCCCCTTTTAGTCAAATATAAACAACAAACTGTAAATGTTAAGATTAAAAGTTTTAATTATAAGCAAAGATAGATAGTGGCTAGAAGTGGAATCCAGGACGCGCGTTTCGTCCTACCTGGGACTCGTCAGCTGGATGTACCTGCATCTCAGAGTTGATGTTCACTCTGGGACTCGAACCCAGTACCATTCGCTTCCAACGCCATCGCGTTATCCACTTAGCTCAGTCAGTCAGTAACAACGTAGAACTTCGTACGTACGTACATCAGTCGGAGTTGCCATACTACATTAGCACACAGACACTTAGCTACTGAGTCTTGATAGCTACTTGCTTGTACAATGGGGTGAAGTTTAAATTCAATTGGTATTGTTTACTTGAATCTTCCCATTGATGATTGGGGCTGCAATTGATCAGTCTTTTATTGGCATATATGCACATAAAAGTTTTAATTGTTTTATTTCCAATGTTAATCACTTTTATAGAATCATGAAATATTGTTGTACGTTATCTATATAGGAAGATAAAAAGAATAATCTCTGTTATTCAGGTTAATTCTTCAATATGAATCGAATATATGAATGATGTCACGTTAACTGGGTATTTTTTTGTTGACTTGGGCCAATTCTTTTAATAGTCCTATGAATATTTACTCAAGAATATGCAGAAACCAGAACATTAATTATTGAGAGAGTTTGTGTTGTTACTATTTGGTTAATTCGACAAACACTCTATGAGCAAGCACCACCGGAAAGGAAATGAGTCCAAAGAATTGAATGTATATTTCCTGAGTGGTGATCAATAAGTGGGTAGAGTTTTCACTGATTATCTGTGTTTACAACCAACGAGAGGATAGATAAATATTAAAGTGCAGACATATGTTCAATCAAACTCAAAAACAGTTATGAAAAGTGAATCGATTGTCTAAATTACAATAATTAGTTAATGTTAAACTATAATAGGCTTTTCTTGTGACCTGGATAAATAGGTTGTACAAATAAACTGTAATAATAAAGGCTTACTATCCTATGTACTTTATGTTTGTTATTTTGCTGAATGCTGATTCATATTCATGTAGGAGAGGATTTTCATGTAAATCTTTCTTCTATACCATCATACACTATAAGGATTTTATTTTCAGAAATAGTCATTTATTTAAGGAATCTGATTTTCATTGTTCATCTAATTAAGATCATCTCATGGTTTAAACTGTGGAAAAACTACAATCTCCACATAATCATGTATACACTAGTGACTAGCTTCAAATCGCAATTTTAGGGTTCTAGTCAGAGTCTGTGATCAATAGATTTCAATAATGTTAGGTGTCAGATAGTGACCCATCGCAGACAATGAGAGATATACACGTAATACATTGGAACGATTCAACTTAGACATACCATTGAATGCGCCGAGTCAGTGATCTAGGAGTGAATGTGTCTCGCATGAAAACGGAAGTTCCAAGTTCGGCTAACTTTGGGAGGGGGTCGTGGATGCGAATTGTTGAAGAGTCTCACACTAAAAGGAAACAACTATTCAGTGCTTCCTCATTTTTAGTAGTGACCTAGTTAAAAACAGTACGTGATTTAGACTATGGAAATTCTCCAATCTCCACAAATCCCTTTATACTGTATCTATTATTTACTTACCAAAGTAACTAATCTAATGAAAAAAATTTTTCTTCATGTTTTCTTATATCACAGTATGTCACTCATTTAACACCATTTTCAATACCTTGGCGTTTCAAATCATTAGAATATAATAATTTTATGAAAGTTTGTAAAGAATCTCATTGTCAACCAATTGGACGTTTCGAATGTACAATGAATCGAATTGGTAATGTTAAAAAAGTTAATCAGGATATAAGAGTGGATTGTGCTATTAGACAACAGATATAACTGGAATTCATCATTTAAGTCTGGTATATTTTTTTCTTAGTACTTTTGATATAAATACCTTTTTGAAGTGCATTATATTCAAGTATTCAATATTGACCTTATCAATTTAAGAAATCTTACTTCTTATATGTGATGTGAAAGAAGACATTTTTATCTGATTTCGAACTTATTTCCAAATTCATGATTTTTAAATCTTTGACTTATGATTGTTTATCATGCAAAAAAAAGAAGAAATACTGTGATGCATATCTATCTATTCCATTTATCTGTGATACTATGATAACTTGAACTGTTCACTAGGACTCTATTTTGTATATATACCCACAATTTGAGATATTCTGTTTTCTAATAATAACATCCTTTCATTATCTTTTAAAACGAAACTACTATTCTTTTTAACACATAAAGTATTTGCAGCACATGTATCATTTTGATTACAAGTGACTATTTGGGCAAATTCCATGGATTTCAGTTAGATACGTATATTACTGGGTACATGTGTTCGTAAAATGTTAATTACAAATAGATTTGATCACTGTCTACTTATGATTTGATAGATTAAAATACACTAAATATAACCATTTAATGCAACAAACTGATACTTTCTTTTAAAATGGTGTTAATAAAAAGTGTAGCAATCCAACTGCTACGAAATTTTTAATGTTTTTTTCTTTTATGTAAAATGAACAAATTACCACATCAGTTTTGGTATTTTACAACAACAGAGATCAATTCGTAAATACATTACCGTATAAAATATTTTGGATTTATGTTTATACATATATGCAATAGGCAATAACGACTAATGAAGCAAAGCAACATTTCATCATTTGTAAGTAATATTCGTCATAGATTGAGCTCAGTTAAAGTACTATTAAAAGGCACTAGGGTGCGCTGGACATGTCTCGTTATAGTACGGAATGTCCTATCAGTGTTCGAAATTATGACACGCGGTTCACGATTAACTATCATTCACTATTTGTGTGTTTAACAAAAATATATGACTGCAAATTCCCAACATCTTCCTCCGAGAGAAATAACCACTGAAGCGGGATGAGTTTTGAATATTTATAAGTACACATACTACCAAAGACAAAGGCTAATAATAAAAATCTATGGAATTCAATATGGATGATTGAAAGAAGAATGCCACTTGACGCATTGATAGTTGAATGCGTTTTCCACTTAGACATACAACAGATTTAAATACTTTAGAAGAGAAATATTATACATTATAAAGAAGATTTACCTTCTTACAATAGGTTGTAAACTATGGTTGGATTGTTATTAAAGTGTGGAAATGTGTTACTCATAAGCTGAAAAGAAATGAATCTCGTAAGATATAACAATATCTCTGCCTCAAGGTATATATATAGCTTAAAAGCAAACGGTAAAATTATCTTTTATTCTGAAACGATATACTTCACATACTCATGAACTTATAAAAATAGATTCATCAAAACGAATACAATCAGTTTACTGAAGTAAAACAAACAATTTACACATGAAAGTATCATTATTATTAAAATTCTACTGAACCAGTTATCATAGATACAGTATGAGTTTCTATCGGATGACAATAGAGTATAGTCATATTGTATTGTATTTCGCTTTCTAAATGTCGGAAATCGTATAATTCCTTGACAAACCATGGAAATGTTGGTGGACCATAAAAAATAAATGTTTGAGGACCACGAATTTTTCGCCTGCATTCATAGAATAAATATAAAACAATTAGAAGAACTAATTTTTATTATATAACGAAATAGACGGTCAAGACTCCAGTTTACATTAATAAACTAAGATATTAAAAGAAATTGAAAAAAAGCCTTTAATGGTTTTGTAACTACATTGTGGCTTTTTTCCCCTCAATTATTTAAGTAGGACTCCGAAAAGTAACTGAGATTTATTACTTTCTAAACAAAAGTAGGTCACCTAACAAACCCAAATTATTCTTGATTATAAATGACAAATTTAAAGAACATTTGCTTATTTGTCTACGAAATTTAGCGTTTATGTAATCTCCACTCAATGTACAGTTGTTTTTTTTGCTAAAAAAAATGAGAAAAAAGAAAAGACAATTAGGAGGATTAAATCCTTTGGTATTGATGTTTCCCTTAGTTCTATGAGATCAGTTGGCTGTTCCATATAATTGTTGGCTAGCTCATGTCACAATTATCTATCGTATGGGTAAACATGTATTCATCCCCATTGAGCAACCTCTGGTTATTATAAAATTGTTTTCTTACTTTTCAGGAAATCTCAGAGTTCCATTCACATAATATATTATTAGTAAAAAAAAGTCCTGATTTACTATCAACCTCTAATTAACGTAATTTGGTTTATACCATCAAGATAAGCAAAAATAAGTACTCAGGAATAAAAAATCAATATAATTGGATAATCAGTCAGCTAAATGCACCATAGAACCTAGTACATGAGTGCATCGGTTCAAGTTACCATACCCTATTAACACTGAGATGAAATTGTTAGAGCAAATCTCACAGTTATTTATTTATTTCACTACGACGTCAATTGATTTTCCATACTCAACATTCCGCGTCTAACCTTATAATTGCTAACTCGATGGTCTCGAAATATACGAGCAATGTTTAGTAGACACCTATGGTCGTATACCAGTAACCTACGAATATCCTAATTCTAAAGCTATGTCTGACATTTGTAAAGAAGAACAGAGCGAACTGCTGCATGGTGAACTCGTCCTTTCGTTGGGAAACCGATATTTACCTTACGCCACGAATGAAAATTTGGCATAAGTCAGCCGGGTTTTTTGAATCCGTGCTGAGGTTTCAGATATAAGTGACGTGGTCGACACACTTAACTACTTCACTCCATATCATGAGTTCAGCTGCTATCACAAACTAATCAGCCCTGAAGCAATATTTGCATTCAAATGATGAGGTGCATCCCAAATATAACAGCATTCTTGTTTAAGGTGGTCAGAAGATAGTGTATTTTCAGTTTCTTCACCAAACAAAATTATACCACCTGATAGAAGATCGACTCCTGATAAATTAGACAACGAGTGTTATCTCTAAAACCATGTGTATGACAAAATTAAATAGAAATGGGGAGAGCGGACAACCTTAACGAACACCACTTAAAGTTATCAACTCCGACGACAGTTCGTCAGAAGCTCTAACTTGACGAATAATGCTTGAGTAGAGAACATGCGCTTGTTTGGTACGCCTTTCAATGAAAGACACTGTCATAAAACCTATCGATTTACAGAATCAAATGTTGCCATTAGGTCGAGAAATACAACTATGATTGGGGGTCTGTAGGTATGTCTGTGCTCCAGAGCCTGGAGAGGTGAAAATACTTTGTCCACACATCCACATGTAAATCTTAAACCAGTTTTCCCGAGTTTGCTTCTCACAAGCCCTAGTTAAGAACTGGAGTATTATTGAGGATAATATTTTAGACACTATGTTAGCAAAACTTATTCCTCTGTGGTCGTCTATAAGAGGATTTTTCCCTTTCTCATAGACTGCAGCGATCATGATCAGTCAGATGGGATTATATCCAGTTTTCAAACTCCAGCTAAAATCTCATTCAACCTAAAAGCTAAAACTGGACCACCATCCATAAACATCTCAGGGGATAATTTACCCGAGCCTACTACTATTTTAACTAAAAATGCTCGGTTTCCGAGAAGAGTATACGTTATTCACAAACCATTGAGATGGTAGTGAATTATTGTACTCAACTGAGTTAAGATATACCACTAGGCATATTTCGTTATTCAAGTTACCGTTTTAACTTTACAATTTAACGACCCTAACAAGCAGTAAATGTACAATTTAAACTGAAATACAACACAACAGTACAAAGAAAAAACATGTGAAGTGATGGTAGAAACGAACAGTAAAATCAATACTGGCGAGCAATAATAGGAATAGTAAGTATTCACCTTCGAAAGAAGTAATAGCGCTCAGTTATTAACAAAATACGAATACGACCATCACCAAACAAGGTACGAAATCGTTCAGCTTCTGAGTCTTCTGTATATCTGAAGAAAAATGTAAAAAAACCCTAGCAAAGTAATTTGAAGCTACAGTAATGCAACAGAGACAAATATCAATCACATAGGGTCTGGGCACAGATATGTGCGTTGGTCTGAGCTGCAAAATGTCCTATGTCTAGCCCCGACAGTACTTTCTTGGTCATCTCACCATACGCGAGCAATGCTTTCAAGGGACCTACGATCAAATACTAGTAAAGGCCATGTTTCACACCCATAAAGTAGAAAAGTGGGAACTGATGAACAATATAAAAGCCCTTTGCTTGGCAGACGGATATCTTGCCTATGCCACAAGTGATACAAATTGTCAAACCCCAACCGGCCCTTCTGAATCCGAGCCCAGATTTCTCCAGACACCAATCTACCAGACCTGAGACGTCTAAGGTAAGTGAAGTGGTTGGTGCACTCAGATACTTCAACGAAAATACGAGATGTACAAACCGAATAAAAATATTTGGCAACATATTTATGCTCGTGCACGCTAATATGTTGAACACCACTTTAAAATAATTAAGACCGTTTCACCGATGAGAAAGTTTTCACCTCCTTAAAGTGATAGACTGATGCTTTGTCTTCTTTAGGCTATCAGCTCATTTAACTAGAAGATTCTACTACGCACAAATTTTTAAATAATAATGATTGATAAGGTAGCTGTGGTAACAGAAATATGTCTAATCAGCTATAAAATAACAAATATACTTAAAAACATGATCTATACATATGCAAGATGTGAGCTTAGGACGACTTACGCATATGTTGTGAATAATCGAACACCTTTATTTCAACGGGATCAAGTTTTATCAACCTATAGAGCTGCTACTGTCATGATAATGTAAACTGGTGGTTTTGTTCCCAAAATGACCTACATCAGTATATACTAATCAGACTTTTACAACGAATCCCATACTTGGACGAAACGACCGTCCAGTGCTTCAAGGCTTTCAATGATGGTCTAACATTGATCGGTTCGTGGTCTCAATTAAAATTGAAGGATCTCCACAACCTTATACTGGTAATAAGTAAACCGACATTTTCCTGCTATACTCTCAGTAGCACTTCTAAAACTGGTCAGATACACGAATAGTTTTATTACTTCTATAAGTCGACTATTAAGAGTGAATCCAAACAAAAGGCCGTTTTATATGTACATTTCACTTGAATAGTGTTAATCACATAACACCTACATAATCTGGGACTTGATACGTTTACACTGTATCCCAGAGTAAAATGATATTGTCCATCCACTTTCTATAGAACAAGTCTACATTATCGCTATACAATTCAGTTTAACGATGTTTCTAGCATTTTTAATGGTAGGTTTAAATGGAAATGGTAATATGTGAGGTAGTTAAGACCATTTTGTAAGCCTGTTGACGATGGTAAGAAACTGACTACCAAGTTGTTCTCCACCTTTTACTTCATTTAATTAACAAGCTAAAAAGATAGGGCAAAACATCCACTTGAAAATTTATACGGTAAATAGTGATAAAAGTGTTTATATTGTGTAAAAAATAGGCTTTGAGACTACCTCCTACGTCATATCATAAGGCATTAGTAACTATGTAGATTATTTACCTAGTACAGTATCCAACATTAATCCACGCATTTTTAATGAGGGTTACTGATATTGTAAAGCTACCCAAACCAAGGCAAACAGAACAGGGTTTGAACCTTCAGCTTACTGAGGTTGAAAGTCGAATATATTACACAAAAATATCCAACTTCACATCGTAATGTGTAAGAAGGGTATGATACTCCCTGAACACCTGGAGAGAAGCAAGCTTACCTTTCACCTTAATAGTAAAATAAGATTAGTTAACAACAGGGTAATTAACATTAATTTTTTTTAAAGAACCCACTCATTAATACAACAAAAATCCAAAGATTCAGCAAGTAAAATTTGGCGCAATTCTTCAAGATCGTAGAAATCTGTCACATATATAAGAACACGAGGATCTGAACCTCGGCGTAGCCTAGGTAATATTCGTTGTTTAAAGGCATTTAATCGGGCTATAGAAACATTACGTCCTGCTGAGTAGAAAAAAATGTAATACAGAAGAGAGGAATAAAGATTATGTAAATTTATAAACAAAAACAGTCATTAAAACCCAAAGCTTATCATAAAAGTCTTACATTGAACTATATGAGGTGATGTAAAAAAACGCAACCATGAATATTGAATAAAAGAAAGGGAAATCAGAAATTTGGGTTTCCATTCTTCTAGAAAAGTTAACATGCACGTTTACTAGTCGTCTTATGATACTTTTTATATAGTAGTAATTAATAAGCTACTTTTTAATTGATTATTTGTCATCGTAGTATTACCGTTCATACTAATTGTAATCAACTAACTATAAGACTTTTACTCAACTTTGTATCAACAATATTTCAGTTATATTTACCTATAAGAGATCTATTAACTAGAGTATCATAGTTTATTCATAGAAACATGTGAGTAATATGTATAAATAATAATTAAAGGTACTTATGAACAATTAATTGGCTTTTTGATGTTCTGATTAGAGGGTATGAGTATGTGAGGATTCGAGTAGTATATCGATCGCGTGTGTGATGAATACAATTAACAAGAATAATGTGAACTTAATGGCATAGATGAGAACACATCAATATTCTAATAAGATTATAGTCTTTTCAGGACAAACTACATTAGTTTGTTTAGTTCAGTCATTTAACAATGAACACTGAAAATGAAATGGTGAGCTACATCACTTATACGAGATCATAGTCCAATCTTATTGAGTTTTTTCAATTTTCTAACTGATACTACCAATAATAAGATGATAATTAACTTAACATTCCAAACGACAACTTACATAAATATGCGTAATCAGTGAATCCAAGTGTTTTAGTAGATAATAATAGTGAATTTGTTGATGAATCTATTTTTAAGGAATTCGAAAGGCAATGAAGAGAATTATCAGTTGTTGTCTTAGGTGATATTTCTATCTCATCGTCTGAATCTGATTGATTATTTTTACTAAGCAATTTTGTACAAGATGATTTAACAGAAATTTGTCCAGGAACTACAAATGAAATTAAATGTAACTTGAAGTTATAATTTGTTAATGATTTATCTTCTTCCTTTATAGCATTCATATCTGAATGTTGACGTTTCTGTCCAGTTCGAATAGATGCTTTCAGTCCAGGAACACGTACCCAATCGGGTAAAAATGTTGGATACAAATCAGGGTAATGTGATAATGGCGGTATATAATTCATGCCTTGAAAATCTAAAATTCAATGAGAATAAAAGAAAACCTCTAAAATTGATAAAATGCCCAAGAATCAAGTCTTAATTGACTAGAGATTAAGTGTGATCTACAAACTAATCCCTTATGACATTTTATCGTGTTCATTCTTGTATTCCATATTTTATGGATAAGCATATATCAAAAACAAAAGAACTATTTATTGATGCTGTCTCTAATTTCTGATCAATCAGCCAACTTTATCATTTCTCAGCTATTCCATTTTATCTATGAATAAGTGTTCTTTGCATTCATTCTAACACAAAGAAAAATTCATTCATCAAATTATTAAATCTTAATTCATAACGTTGACGATGGGAATGAGTTCGATCAATTCACTATGGATGCATAGAAACTATTATGAATTCACTTAATAATAGAATCGTAGATGTAACTTATAGAAACGCTTCTAAATGAGTTAAAAATTTAAAAATCACTCACAAACTATCAATTTAGAATCAAATATAACTCAGAAGAAAGAATGCATTATCGAGGAAGATCTAAGTTCATGGAACAGTATAACTGTCGTTGGAGAATCTCAAAGTTACTGTTTATCCATATATAGTCATAGTATTACAGTCAAAGTTTCCTAGAAGTTCCTCTCCAAACTCAATTCACAACAGAAATACAGATAAGTATGAAAAATCCTATATATACAGAAAAGATATATGACGATTAAAAAAATGGTCTATAATTTACCTTACATGGTCACATCCAATACATGGTACACAGTACATACTCGTGCCTTAATTTTAATAGCATTTTCGATTTTGAATGACTAATTACAAACATTTAACTAAGGAAAGGGTAGTGGTAGCTGTGTATGTGGAGAGAACATGATTAACACACTTATTGAATATATTATCTAGTGAACCATTAATGTTCCACAGTATCCATTTCTTATTCACATATATGTACTGGAACCAACTTTTTTAAAAAGAAAACCCAATATGTAAATCTATCAATCATATTTTAGCATTTATAATCATATTATTATAGTATTTTATGAAGATCATGGGCCGATCTAAATTAAACAAACATTGAAAACTTGGATGCACTGGATGGCAATTTCATCGTAGTATGGAACTAATTAACAGTGCCGTCCAGTGCTTTATGGTTTTCAATGGTTGTCTAACTTAGATCAGTTCATGAGATCCCAATAAAACCTAGTAATCTCTCCAACTCCATACTGATTATTCTAAATATATTCGGAACAGATTTTTTGACCAGACTTTAACACATCAACCTTTATGATGATCATGACGATGATCTGTCATTTCATAATGAAAATTAATCGATTATATTTTAGCATTGATAATTATATTTCTTGATTGTTTTTTGGTTAAATAAACTTACTTTCACATTCACCTGATAATAATGTGATCAAAAAATTTGATACGGCAGAGAATAGTAGAGTTTGACGATAACGTTTACCATAACCAGCTAAGTAACATAATCGAATACGTGCAGCTGATGCAAACACAGGAACAGTTGGACGTTGATTGAGTAAAGAGACAATCTGTTGTACAGTAGCCCAATTTTGCATTAATAACACTTCAGCTTGATCGATAATCAACAATTCGATAGATGCTATGATATATTGAACATCAGCTTCTTTCTCTCTAATATATTATGGAATATGTGTAAATCAGTAAACATACAAGAAAACGATAACAAATGAAAAGTTTCTGGCTACAACTATAGCTGAGTAATACGTAGTTTACTGTTAAAGAAGTTAACGAGTTCTAGGTAGTGACAGGATCATAAAATATGATAATTAACTATGAATACAATAAATGAATTACTCAAGATATGGTTGTACATGCAAACAGTGAACGGAAAAATCAATCTAACTCAATGATTAGTTATATCGTTGTATTGCACAGTGTAGAGTAAATTTGCTGTGCAGAGAAAGAATTATATTGTCCAAGTGCTCAGATAGATATAGAAATTTAATAGATTTAAACTTTTATCTCAATATTTGAGAATTCTCATGTGTTTATTGTGTTAGATTCAAACAAAACAAGTTACAAAAACGATCATCACATGATATGAGACAAAACTAAAATCAATACCATCTATAAAGAATGTTGCACTCAGGATCATGTTAGCATTTGCTTAGTAACCGTCTTTCAACTGTAGTGTAAACAGTGTCAAGAGTATCAAGTGGTTCCGATCGCATCACTGAAACTAGATTTATATAGAAATAAACCAGCGCAAACGACTAACGTCAGTTCATTTAATCTAGGTCTAGTCCCTCACAAAGTTTTCATACTTCATTGAAACAATAGCACAAAATATCCTTATTTTGAAGATACATGCTCAGTGTTTTAGTAACCTTTAAACATTGTTAGTAATTTTACTAACATCAGATTATCATTTCACCATAAGTGACTCAAATAATTTGGAGTAGTTGAAATTTTTTAGATTCAGCTCCTGCTGTCATTATCAGATATTACATTCCATGTTTAGAGATTGCGAAATGATCTGAAGGAAATAACGGATACTACTGTACTTCCTGTCCACTAGAATGATTATAAAGCGCTTGTAAATACTTAACGTTTATAAGCAGGATCCTGTATAGATACTTTAGGAAGAGCGGTAGTTACATGTACACTTATACCATCAGGAGCTGATTAGATTATAACTTCATTGGTTCAAGTATCAGATACAAAGAACGCAGGCTAGGTAGTATTTTGGTGATGAGTATGCTGGATATTCATAATACATAGTTTTGTACGTTTCATCTGATATTGTGAACATAAATTGATTATGTCAATAAGGTACAACTGCAATTACTTTCAATTTATATACCATTCAATAATGCCACTTTCCCTCCATATTTAATCTTGACTTTAGTCGAATTAACTAGCCTAAGAATGAAGAGATAACTGTTAAAGGGGATTCAAACATAACTGATGTGGATTCGACTTCAGGACTAAGCATTTATAAAACTTGTTAACAATATTCCTAGTGATCAACATGAAGAACACATTTTTTAACATCTCCATGATTCTTAAAGACCAGATAACAACCGAGATCAAAACCTCTCAACTCATTATGAATTCAAAAGACAATGTAGTATGACACAAGGCAAACATTGACATCTATTTCAGAAAAGTCAAGAGTAGTGGAGAAGATTAATATGTTTTGAAGATGATTTTAAAGCCATTGTGTTCTCTAATCAATGTAGCAAAAAACTGAATTTTTTATCGTATTTATGGGTATCATCAGAACATAGTTAAGAAGGATATGGGAGGTACACCGAATGGTCTAACTGAATAAAAGATAAGTTACGTAGGTGCTTGAAATACAACAAGCACTATATCATACACACACACACACACAAAATAAACCATTGAAGGATAACATAAACCAATACAACAGAAAAAATCCTTACACTTCGTCATCGATAACAGTTTTAATTCCCAAAGGAGAAGCTAGAATTATATCGGAATCACGGAATGCAGAATACAACTTTACAGACTTTTTAGAAAATGCCATACCAATACGAAAATTGTCACTTGAATTACCTAGCAAATTATTTTGAAAAAAAGGTGTAAAGTAATCAAAAGTTACATAATCTACAGTGAAAAATATTCACTTGCAAATTCACTTCTGCTTACATTATTTATATACTTAATGACTTTTTACGATAGTAGTGTGATGATCGAAGTCCTGGATAGTAAATCAATTTACTGTATTATGCAAACTTATGCACTTTGTAAAATATGAAATCAATACATTAAATGCACTATTTCCCTGTTTTCCTTGAGTTGTACTTTCCATTCCTGTTGTTATTTGGATTGCTTTCTATTTCCCTTTCTCTTCTCCTTATTTTCCTCTTCTGTTTATAAGAATTCTATTTTCAATTTCTGTTAAATACTACTTATAACTGTCTGTACAAGTAGTACAAACCACGGTAGGATGATCCAATTGCGTAAAACATTACCCAATGTTATTGTAGAATATCTATAGTCAAACGTAATGCAATGTAGCATAGATGTTGATTTTACAAAATGTTTTGTACGATTCAGTAGAAAACATTAAAATCTCATATCCACAAATAATATGAAATTCGGTTGATTTATAGCTGATGATGAAACAAAACATTCAGATGATAATATTTTACTTCAAAGACTTTTCAAACACTTAAGGCGATTACTCGCTTAGGAACATGTAACAAAGAGCGACTTTTTATGCAGAATTTAGTTAAAGGTACAACGACTTGTAATGCTACTCACTCCTTGTCTTAAGTAGTAGTGCGAACAGGAAAAAGTAGCTGAAAATTGTACTTAATATGATGAAAAGATATCATATGTATGATAATTTTAAAGAGTAGATTTACTGAAGGCTTTTACATGGCAAATTTTTTAAAGATCTGACATGCAAAGGATATTCGTGAACTCAACACGTTTGTATAGGAGAATTGCCTGTATTCAATCTACATGAGATGGGAAATATTTACAATTTAGACTGTGGGTATGTCTGCACAATTATCTATATGTATTTAATTAACTTCAGGTCCTTAAAGGAAAATCAATACTCTATAAACCCAACCTTACATCACTATTACTTCTGTCATTTACCTTACACCTAATGACAGTCTAATAGGCAAAAACATCTAGTTATAGCATCCATAACATGTTAACATTAGTGAATCAGTCTTATTTGATATCTTCTCTCTATAAGAATTACTTTACCAGTAAATTTTCGAAACACTGGAACAATTTGCCGAAAATTTTCATGAAACAAAATCACTCCCATTCTTTTTTCATTGTATCAATGGTTACTTTTCTGGAATTGACTTAAGTAATTCTACACCTTGAAATATATCACATTCCACTAGTGAAATTATACGAACATTAAATGTTCAATCATTATTATTACGAAGTCCATTCATTAAATTTCGATTCCTGTTCATATTTTACACTTCGTCCCTGGAAAACTTAACTAATTTAAATAGTATTTATCCCGAACAGTAGATCATAAAACAACTTGGCACATGTGTAACGGTAGAACTATTACAGTAATTATTCCTGTTGTTGTCCTGTGCTTTCTGTTTCCGTTTTATTTTCTCTAATTGTAGATGATTATAATTACTTTGTAATGGTACTGGAAACGAACTTGGATACACTGTTTATGTAACAATGGGATGTCCTAGTCCCCTTACAAAGAATTAATGTGTTAGTAAGTCATAGGTTGGAGTGATGCATGTTCCATGCAGGATGATGTTGGAGCACGCTAACTGACCCATCTTTAGGCAATCAGCGCCAGAAGATGCGTGAAGATTCTAGAATATTCCTATGTACAAATTATAGATCCGAAAACGGTTTTCGTGTTGTTACTACTCCCAATCAACTTTGTTCATTTGGAATGTAATTCGATTCCTGATCAACCGTGTTCTAATGTGGGTACTAGTTGAGTGGTGTCCGAAAAATACCAAGTAATAAGAGTAGCTGGATCGGTTAATGAAGGAATTACCGTAATAATTCCCAAATAATGCCTCACATTGTTGTAATCCATGTAAAAAATGTACTTCATGGACAATTTTTGAACCATAACACTTCGAACAACCTAAAATCATAAATGTGTTTTATATGGAGCATTACTACTTGGATCGACCTAACTACGCCTGTGGTTCGGTATGCATTCTGTAAACATTTTCAGAACAATATTATTGTTTCTTGAATGGTTATTTTATTCGTTTGATGCTCATAGGTGAAGTATAATTTTAAAATTTTTACCCGGTACTACAAAGTATCTGTAATGAAACAGACTTCTTTATTTGGATGTATTTTTCAAAGTGCCGTAAAGTCATAAGATAGGATCAAATTTCGGAAGAACTTAGAAGTGCGTTTATTTCAAATTTGGTCAACGATCAACACTGTCTAAAACATACTCAAAATATAACTGAGTCACAGGATAAATAGATCCTTAAATGACTAGTCTAAAGGTCAATCGTCATAATTTCCCAATTCCATTCAAATGCTGATAGCTTCGTATTTACGAAAATGAGACGAAAATTATTTAACAGAAACTTGCCACTGAACCATTCTTCATAATCTTTAGGTTTTCTACCCTTTTTCTTCTCTTTGTCGGTATCTCCAGGTTGTGGACCAAAATCTCGTTCAAAACGACGTCGGTGACTTACTGTGGAGCCTTTAGGCATTAAATGGAAAAATGTATGAACTATTCGCCTAGCCGCTTCTTTAGTTGGTGCTAAAATAAGAGTACGTGCCCGGTGAAATCCTTGATCTCGTAAAGAACTAGAAATAGATTTATTTTAAATAGAACAGAAAAAATTGAGAGGAATGATGAATAAAAACCACTGGATATTTAATATGCAACAAAGAATTGAGAATAAAGTAGTCTTAAATAGAGTAATTTACATTGATGGAGGTCATACTCTCCTGAGTTATTGTTCTGCGTTTTGATGGGCACGACAAATTATGATCTAGTTCGTTTACACTCACTTTGATTGTTTAGAACAATCACATTCGTAACCGAGAAGTGTGAATTTCAGAAACATTTTAATACGCATGGATTGATCAGATAAAAATAGACCAGGTTCATTATATTTTGTCTCACAGTATTAATGATAAACATATTTTTAAGCAGCCCTGAGACAGTTCAAAAGTAGGTAAGATTTTTGTACTTCAGAATCGACCATCAAATAGCATAATAAACAACTGGTTGAACATATCCGAGTATTTGTAAAGGGATGAGTTATAATTTGGATTATTATTTATTTATTCATTTGAACACATAAATATTGGTACAAGAGGGCACCAAATATATATGCGCCACACAAAACAATGAAAATGGAAAGAGAAAAAAGAAGGTAAGGAGCGTAAAAAAAGAACAAAAACGACCAGATTAGTGTAAGGTAGTGTAATAATAATAATAATAATAATAATAATAATAATAATAATAATAATAATAATAATAATAATAATAATAATAATGGGGGAAACGGAATAGTGCAACCAGAAGAAATCTTTCAGTTAAGGAAGATACGAACGCTTTTATGTAGAAAGTAAAAGAAGGTTACAGAAGGATCGCCACTGGCTTTTATTCTGAGCCATATCTGATAACGTCTCTAGCCACTGTGTTGCACCATCTCTCGGACCCCAGCCAAGGAGTCGTGAAGGGCCGACACAAGACAGCACTTTGGAGCTTTCTTTCATGCCACGACACCATGTCATACTCTGACCACAACTCCACTTTTTCCAACCATTCGCAGCGTCGGCAAGTAATGCACGAAGTGGAATTCTTTGGGACGACATTCGTAGAACATATCTAAGCCACCGAAGTCGATGTTTCAAGATGTTGGCACCAATTGGATTATCGTCACTGAGCCCGAACACACTATGCCGAGCCTCTACATTACTAACATGGTGTTGCCACTGGGTGTCAGCAATCCTTCGGAGACAACGATGATCGAACACAGAGAGTCGTCTAATGTCCTCAACTCGGAGGCCAGGTTTCACAAGCATAGAGCAGAACTGCTCTCACCGACGCGTTGTAGATCCGACCTTTTACAGCCAGACTAACATCACGAAGACGCCAAAGATGGCCCGGATTGGCATAAGCCGCTCTAGTTTTCACTATACATGCATTGATCTCACCACTCACGCCACCACCAGCACTTATGCAACTACCCAGATACACGAACTTCTCGACTACGTCTATCTGCTCACTATCCAGGGTGAGTACAGGATTAGAATCCTGCCAGTCCTGTAGAAGTACTTTGCACTTCGAAGGTGCAAAGCACATACCATACCTACGGACACTGATTGCCAACTGATTAAGTGCGAATTGCATGCCTTGGGCATTATCGCACAGTAAGACAATATCATCCGCATACTCAAGGTCGAGAAGTCTTTCTCCAGGCAACAGATCCACACCACCATTACTTACATTCATCAGAGCTGTTTCCAGAATGTCATCGATGGCAAAGTTGAAGAGGAATGGTGAGATTGGGCAACCCTGCCTAACCCCACTGCTCGAATGGAACAATGGAGAAAGGTGGTTGTATGCCCTCATTCTGCCTGAGGTGTTTGTATATAGGGCTTTTAGGATGTTAATAAACTTCTCAGACACACCCTTCTTCAATAGACAATCCCAGAGAACAGTCCTATCCAACGAATCGAAGGCAGCCCTGATGTCAAGAAACACCACGATCGTTGGCCTTTGAACAATAGAGAAAGGTGGTTGTTACAGGAACGACGTGAACCCTTTTTAAAGATCGAGACAATTATCGACTCATTCCATGACGTTGGTACACTCTCTAGCTCCCACACCTTTCTAAACAACGCCATTAGTTCCTTAGTCAGAAAGTCACCACCATCTTTAAAAAGAGCCGGAGGTAAGTCATCTGGGCCAGGTGATTTGTAGCGTTTCAAGAGTTGGAGTTCCTTGCGGGCTTCCGTCTCATTTGGTGGATCAGTCGCCACCGGCCATGGAGGACAGGACAGTCTGACCGATGTTGCCCGAGCAGCAGGCCATTTGAACTGCCCTTCGAAAAATTCTTCCCATCGTCCAAGACGTCGATGGATGTTAGTGATTGGCATCCCATCATCCTCGCAGATTGTTTCACTCACACCAGACTTCTTGCTGCCAGTGGCTCGGATGAGTTGGAAGAGCTTCCGGTAGTTACCAGATGCAGCTGCTGCTTCCAACTCATTAGCACGCTCCGACCACCAGGCTTCTCGGTCCTTACGCAAGCTTTCACGATTTCATTAAGTAACATCCTTCGTTTGTGGTCAAACTCACGGTCACCCGGAGTAGACTGACGGGCTTCAATGAGTTGTAAGGAACCAGAATAAACCCAGTGCTTATAGGCGGGACGTTTCGCAAACCCACAACTGACTGTACCCGCCATTTTCATGGCGTCATGCAATTGCAACCAATGCTCATCTATACTTTTCGGTGGAATGGTAGCTAGCCTAGAAGCTAGCTTGGTTCGATACTTACTAGCAACAGAAGTTGCAACCAGCTTGCTAATATCAATCCGTTAATGGCGGTCACTTCGTTGGCCACTGAAAAGTAAGGTAAGATTGGCGCAGACCAAGGCATGATCAGAGTCCAGATAGGTACTCCGAAAGGTGCGGCAGTCTTGTACACAACCACGCCAGCGGTAGCTGATCGCGATGTGACCAATCTGAGTCCAGGCTTGAGATGCAGAGGGAGGACGCCAGGTGGCGCATCGGCGATGACTGTGCCAGAAGTTAGTGCTAGCCAGAAACAGGTTGTGGTCTGTGCACAGTTGCAGTAAACTGTCCCCGTTATCTGTCCTGCGACCAACAAGTCCCCATCGGCCACCTAAACGACTCTCTTCTGTTCCTAGACCCCCGACCTGAGCATCCAAGTCTCCGGCAAGTACTACGATATCTGTCGAACGCACTTTCTGAAGAAGAACAGATAACTGGTGGTAAAACTCATCCTTGATTGCATCCGGACTGCAATCTCGGAGCGTAGGCGGGGATGACGAAAAGACATCGTTTCTCACGCCGATTTCGTCTCACTTTGATGGAACTCTCTAATCTAACAGCACATAACCGACTGTTATTGTGGATCCAATCAATTAGTGCTGCCTCAGCTCTAGCGCTTAGTGCGACACCACCGCCAGACCAGACGAAGATGCCACAGGGTCCCCGGATAAACGTACGTGAAACAGGCTTTTTGAAGCGACAGATGGAGAGCGAATTTGTAGTACTTCACCAGTCTTGAATACGGGTCTCGGACAGACAGCAAACATCAATATTAAGACTTTCCAAAGATATAGCCAGCCCTGTCTGTTGTCCGACCTGCATAAATGTGCGAACGTTGAAGGCAGCCAGTTTGAATGGTGCACGTGGTTTCAGAAAAACTGCTTCAGTCCTCGTATTCGGTGGTAGCATACAATTTTTAACCAGGCAGTGACTCGAGAACATTTAGATAGAGCTGAATTTCTACCACAGGCGAGCTGCTGTATAAGTCGAAAAATAAGTATACACAGAGTGGGAATGGAAGAGGGTGAATAAATGACGTAGTAAATAATAATAATAATAATAATAATAATAATAATAATAATAATAATAATAATATAATGTGAGTTATTTGACTGTAAATCGAAGCGAGAATAGAATTTTATTAAATATCATCATTTTCATTTTATTTGTTTGTGGGCTGTGGTATTGCCCGGGTGCCCAGACCGAAGCAGGTGGTTTTCTTAGGGCACCACACCCCGAACCTTTGACCTAAAGGTCTGACCCACAAGGCAGTGGAGCATCGTGAGAAGATGCAGTCCCATGGTATTCGGTGACCAACAATTGGTTCTTACTCCATTTATTCCGTCAGGATACTGTGGCCCATGTGCACCATTGGTTTGGAATCAGGGTTTTCCGACTCCCCTAGGTGAACTCTTCGTGTCCACCAACCTGGTTAAAGCGCCGGACATCCGCTTTTCGTCCTCTCATTTTCGTAGACAACACCGCCGCCACGAGAAAGCAGTGAGTAGGACTTCCCTGGTAGAGGCTGTATACGCGTGGCCGTGTGAGAGCATGTTGAGAGGGAGGGCGGATTACAAAAAAACAATATAGTGTAATTGGTCTTGACTGTCCATCATCACAAAATACTGACTACGCAATCATTTATTTCTAACTGTAACGTCCATAGAGCAAACATTCGATAGTAGCTGCTGCATTGACGTGGTGGTCAGGCTTACCTATCTTGATGATTCAACTGAGCTATATTGGCTGGAACACATGTTCCTTCAGGCCCTGTCATGCCATCCAGGTTGGTTGGAGAACGGTAAGACTGAAAGCAGCAACTTGAGATCCCAGGGTTAAATCGTTCTGCCGATTGTAGAGAGGTGTGACAGCAATAAGGTGTTTCCCTCGGATAACCAGCATTTGCAGCGAAGATGCCTTCTCCCAACGGAGGGAAGGGGTTAGAAAAGGTCAATTCTAAATATGTCACACCTCACCTTATCCCCACGGATTTCCGTCTTCGAGAGTAAGGCTTTTTGAAGTGCAGAGCTAACACATCAAAAACCTCCCATAAAAAGGCTGTGCGCAACCGACCTCAAGCAACTGTCCCTTGGACTCTATGATCACGCTCCCAAGTCACTAAGATCACCACTGATTCCGCTTCCGTCTCAGGTCCCTTAAGAAATATCCTCCCACAGTGGGGGCGACCAGGAAATGACAACTGCCCTCATACCTCTACCAGCAACCGAGATCAACTTGTTGACGATTAAATCACTCCCTCGGGTAGCTATCTGAGGGGTTACTATGTTGATAATTATTTGCTGCCTCCCAGGGATTGTGCCCAGTTTATGAACTAGCTCTGTAGGATTAAATAATAGCACGTTTGGTTATTGTCTGTTTATGCACTAAGGCTTAATAAATGTGTTATGTCTTTATGGCCCGCTAGTTATTACGTGATTTATCCACCAATCGAAATACGACTATACAATTTTCACACTGTGCTAAACCAACGACGTTTGACCGGTATGAGCAACCTAGCGTCCTTATTGGCCCTGTCCGCCTAGCCCGTCTAGTTGATTCCAGAACACCAATACAGCTTCCACTATGCGAATCACTTATTTCAGACATACTGGGTTTATATATCAACCAAACAGACCACAACACAGCATAAAATAGGAAATGACATTTGAACAAAAGTGGCTGTGAACGTGGGAAACTGTAATCAATAAACTGAGTATAACTTAAGAACGGTAAACCGTAAAATAATAATCTATTGTTCAAAACGAAGCTTATAATAAGATGAATATAAATATACACAATCTAATTACTGAATAGTTATACCATAAGAATATATAGATAATATTGGTCAATTAACATGTCTCAGAAGTTACTCATGATTTAATCTTCGTTAGGATATAACAAAATGAGGTTCCAAATTCTCTGGAATTAAGTAACATGAGATGGTAAAATATTTGGCAAAACAGTCAGTGGGATATCAGTAGCTCTGTCATTCTCAACGGCTGTGACGAACAATCAGAGGTTTTCGATTCCCTCGTAAATGATTGTACTGATCATTCTCACTATTGTTACACTCTCCCGTTCTGTTTTCGTAATATTATACTTGTTTGTAGGATACATATATCCTAGCATATATGTTGCCCGAAGTGACAAGATGAACAGAATTAATTTACTCATCTCACATAATGCACAAAATGTGTATACAAAGATTATATGAATACAAAGTAATTGAAGTTTAAATTGATATACAATGATAAATATTTTATGAAGTACAAGTAGATGCATAACTCACTCAGATGCACCAAATTGTTTTTCTTTTTCATTATTCCTCGATACAAGCGTTTGACACCTATATTAACAAATTTTTTCCATTTCTACCCAGAAGAATGACCTACCTAAGCGAATGATTTAAAGCATGAGAACAGTACAGCAGACGTATTGATTCGTTTTCAGGTGTACGACGGCAATAAAATACATCCTAGATTTATGAATAGAATACACTTCTTGTAGAAGAGATAACCACCTCATAATTTGTTACCATCTTGTATAAAATACAATCCTCTGCTTTGATATCTGGTTCGATTGGCTAAAATTAGTCAGTAACTGTTATACACATTGATAAGCTTACTAACATTCTTTGTACTGAGAAACGGAAACATTTTACGGTCAGCACTTGATTTATACCATCCTATATGCGGATTCTGAAAAACATACTGCTTTCATGTGATTATTTACTTACTACAGCAATAGTTACTTCCGGACATCGTTGATCTTTTACTTGTTCATAAGGTATAGAAAAATGACGCGAAAAGGAAGATGCTAGTTTATATGAAAAGTTAAAAAGCTTAATAACTAACCATTTATTGGAGTAAAAACTGTTGCTTCCATATTATATTATAGATTATCACGGTCATAAAGATATCAAAGCCTTTAAATGAAAAGTATCAATAAAATAAATTTTATGAAAATTAATTCAGTTATTTCATCCACAAATATAGAATATGAAGATAATCAGTGAAAGGTTTCAGTAAGACATTCGTTACAAGTGAAGTCATGTCCCGGCACTTTTAACGGTTGCCAATAAATAAAATCTATTTCAATGAACAGAACTACCCATATACAATACGAGCCTGTGATTGTTTTCATGCACCTCTAAATGTTCAACTTTGTACAATTACATTGCAAAACAAGTTACGCATATACACGTAATCTGTGGCCAATCACTAGCCGTTTATCCCTCCAAAAAAGGTATATAAGATAGGCCAAGACACGCACCAAACAATGAAAGATAATTTTGTTATGAGGCAGGATAGAGGAAGGGCATTACAAAGACGTATAAGAACTAAGGGAAGATATATTTCAAACTCCAAAACAACAGAGACCGGTTTCGTTTCTTTTAAAGTAACATTCTGCTGTTCATACAATACAAGACTATAGCAGAATAGTAACCATATCCTTTTTGACCCATACCTCATAAAGTTTTAAGTATCTCAAGTTACCACAACTGTTAACAGTAATCTGTCTTCTTGTTGAGCCCACCAATAAAAACATCTTAATGTGCGGATACTCGGGAAGTGACCATCAATTATGCGCTTTCAACAGCTATCGATTCTACCACGGTAATTATTAGACCTTCTCATCATCCAAACTACTCTTTCATATTTCTTGTAGCAAACTTCTTTTAGCCCCAACACCCATACTTGAAATAAGTGCACGCGACTCGAGACTATAGTATTGGAGTCAACTACGATCAAACATTGTTATAAAGTCTTAATCCTGAGGTAGCTTCATATACAAATTCGGCAGAACTCATACAGCTGCGACCAAATAGCATAAATCCCATAATTGGCTAAAAAATAATCTCGAATTCTCACCTTAGAAAACGATTGGCAGTCCTAAAAGGTGAGTTGGGATTTATGACTGATTACAAGCCTACAAAAGTATGCGGAAACTTTTTTCTACCAGAAACCGCCCAGGACACAGTTCGATATAGAATGATGGTGGGCGGTCTATGCTTCTCCACGAAGGGTAGCAGGCGTAAGTTTGTATCAGAAAGGTTGTTAACACTATGTTTTAGAAACGATCTCTAAAACTAGCAAAATGATTGTTATGTCCAAAACTTCACATGTAGTCCGTGGATATAAAATTTTAAGTTTCTGTGATAGCTCTCTGCTTATAATTAAGCACCAACGCAAGCATGTGTCATGGCACGTTAAAATAATGGCAGTTGGATTAAGCCGGGAATAAATAAGCCTAAGACACCAACCACCTTAGCGCCGACCGAGTCAACTAATAAACGTGTTATGCACTATACGAACACACAGATTTATTGGGATTAATACTAACCTTGGTTTTGAAAATACATGCAAGCTAGTTATTATAGATGGCGCATCTCCGTTATGAAGTTCCCTCCGTTTCAAAACTTAGGTAAACTAACCACTCCGTCTACAATCTGCAGAATTCTGAATTCTGAGTTAATAAACGGTGCTTTGTTTAGAAGCAAAAGTTAATTAATACTAGTTAACAGTAGGTTAGTATTTTTCAGATTCTTGGAGCTTATAAAGTTGTACACCTCTGCTGGAAAAATAATGCATTGTTATGGAAAGGGCTGCAAATATGATAGCAGTTATTTTTAATTATATGGCAAACGTAATACTAACAACAAACCAATATTTCAGAACATCTAGTTCCCATATATACTAAACAATCTGAGATGTTCAAACTTACATCTACCATATCAAATACAAATATAAATTGTAATTAGGCAAATCAATGTAGATATAATATACTGCTGATGGAAACAAAAATGTAATCAACCACTCATACTACACGAGGATTAGTAGCGCATACGTCTAATATTGCGCATCTTCAGGATTCGTAAAAACGAATTTCTTAGTGTTAACCCTTGAAACGATTGCTCTTTCCCAGTAAAGGGGGGTTATTCAGTTGTCCCACGAGAGCTTTTTACAGTCCAGCAACGGGATATAGTATCCTGTAAATCCGGTATTTTTATGGAAAACTAATACACACCAGCTAACTTCTGTGAGATCGCTAATTCGTATTACTGTGGGATGTAACTAAGTGAATTCCCAAGATAAAAATCTTTGAAGGCCACTGATGATGAATTTGATAACTTTACTGTTGTAGCATCAGCAACAGAGGCGTTATGGTAATCCGTGCTGCGCAACTTCTACGACACGTAATCAGCTTAGATCGCATATACCCTGATACATTGACATTTGTTCAAACATATATCAACATCTTTTTATTGTGAACTTCTGCTCTCGTATTTCATCCATTAGAGCTGTCACACATAGCTGTTGGATATCTTGGATATTAGTGATTTATCAGGTTCGTAATTTTTCTGAAACCATCAAATACCACGTTTTCGGAGGAAAGATTTGTTGGTTTCAATGTAAAAATTACTAAACCTTGGTGCGAAGGATCAGAGAGAAGACAGTTGTCAGAAGTAAACTAACAACATACATTAACAAACTATTGGAATATCAGTAAAATGGAGATGTCAAGGGTCGAATTGAGTACACGGGGATTAATGTGAATGATCCTATTATCGGTGGTAATTCTAATCACTCATCAGGCGCAGTTACTACGACTGAAAGGCTGTAAGATATGGGGAATTACGTGGTTACCAGGCCTTCGCCAGGATCTGTCTAATAGCAGAGCTATTGTGGTTCGTGACACCTTTTGAGACAAAAAAAGTTGAGTAATTATGGATGGAAAAGATGAAACACAAAAAAACACCATAATTACTTACTGACTGACGCTTTTTACTCCTCCTAAGGGAGCATAAGCCTCTAACCGGTATTCTCCATCCAACTCTGTCCTGGGCAATCCTTTTCATGTTTGCTTCCGATTCCAGACGTGGTGTTATTTTCGGTCTTCCTCTTTTCCGTTTCCCTTCACGATTCCAAGTTTAAATTTGCTTCGTGATGCAGGTTGGTGATTTCCTCAGTGTATCTCCTGTCTACCTCCATTGTCTTTTCCTAATTTCCTCCTCAGCTGGAGCCTGATTTGTTCTCTCCCACAGTAGGTTGTTGCTGATGGTTTCCGGCCAACAGACATTTGGTATCTTGCACAGTCAACTGCTTATAGGTATTTGTACCTTTTTGATGAAGATTGTGACAGTTCTTCAAGTTTCGGCTCTGTACAGTAGGACTGTATCAACGCTCATGTTGAAGATCCCGACTTTGATATTAGCTGATAGTTATTTCGAGTTCTATGTGTTCTTCAACTGTAGGGATGCTATCCTTGCTTTGAGAACCCTTGCTTTTATGTCTGCGCCGAAGCCTCCTTGTTTTTAAATAATGCCCTGCAGGTATGTGAAAGATTTCACTCCTTCCAGAGTTTACCTATCATATGTGATTGGTTTAGAAGTAAACCTCTAGTTTTCAATCACAATTCTGAGTGATGACTCAAAACCTCGTTTCACGTTAAGTTTTGTACGAATTCGAAGTAATATAGCGAAATATTATTAATATAAGCAAACCTAGAACATCGATAAGACACAACCAAGTACTGAAATTCGAAGTACTCAATGTGGAATTGTATCGCATCTTCTTGATAGGTTTGTAGTGACTCACATTTATCACGAGAACACGACTGGTTTAATAAAAACAATTATTATTATAACCAACTGTACCAGTGCTTGTTTTAATGTGCTTTTGTTTGACTGTGCTAATGACAGCTATTTTGTGCTTCCATTCTTATTCTTACACTTTGATTGTAACTTCGCGCGAATTCGGTTACTTTCTGTAACCAAGCTTGTATCCTGGCACGATCTCGGTATCCTTTCGATGCCACGAGATCACCAGCGAACATATCTCGATTTGGTCCATTAATTGCCTTCTGATATTTGGCTTCTCGGGGATTTTATGGATTTATTTGGTTACGTTCAACCTACGCCTTCTGATTTATATGGCACGTGTTTCTTGGTAGCGGTGTTCATAGTTAACCTCAACTCGACACCACGCGATAGGTTCAAAAACAACATCAAATATTGCACTGTACTGTAAATGTATTGATTATACACCATATCTGCCACACGTTAGTTGTTCGCTTGTCTCTGTAATATTATTTGGGTCTACTTCAATTTCACTAGCATTTCTTAAGTGTTTAGCATTCGGATTCTTTTCGTCAATCTGAAATTCAGGACTCTCTAGAGATTCATTAACAAGGGCATCGTTAGAATTCGACTGGAGATCTCGTGGAGCTGTAATTAAATGTTGGCATGCAATATCAGTAAGCTGGATGTCGAACTCTTTCTGTTACGTGGGTTCCATTATGCGTTACTGATGCACTGGTTTTTCCTTCACGAATAAATATCTTCCTCATTGCACTTTGAGTGAATTATCCGCTAGTATTGTTCGTGAGTACCACTTCTAGCCACTTAGAATATGAATCAGTAATAACTAAATTTTAATATGAGTTTAAACATTAGACAGTAATCCACGTGAATACGTTCCTATGATTCATAAGATGTAGGCCAAGGATTCCAAGTTAGTTTATTATACGATAGAACATGCAAACGGTCAGAACAGTTTTTCAGTCTTCCACTTATATGAAGATCATTTAACATTGCAGACATGAATGTAAGGCAAATGGTTATTCTACAATGGAAGTACAAAAATCTTTCTCGATGTACCAATATGTTCTCCATGGTTCTGTAAAACTCAGGAAACCCACGCTTGCACTGAATATTTTAACCACATTTCACTGCACTTGTAACAGCCTCAAAATATTTACGAGTATCCCTCAGAAGCTCTTTATCAACAGATAATGGTAAAAACAACATACAATCACTTTCGTTAGATGACCTTAATGATGTCACAGGTATTCAGTGTTTGACAACGCTTCTACCAGTAACACCTTCTAATATATTTCGTTCCCACCCAGAGAAATCAAAAGACAGAGTCGAGGAGATCGGAAGAGTGCATTTGGCGATAACCAATATATCGGAATTCTCTGATCTAATCTGGCTAGCGATTGCGGTTGATGTTGAGCACGGCGTTACCACACGTGATCTGGTGCGGATGCCTGACCGAGCGCCTCCAGCTAGATGAGTCCACTAAAACATATGGTCAGCATCCAATGTCGAAAACTTACAGAGCTATTTATTTTGGGGATTTATTTACCGCTACAACCTTATAAAATGTGGTTAGCGTGATATAGAATATGCATGCGACATGCATTTGGCCCCTCGGTGCCCAATGATAAAACCATGGGCAGTTAAATTTTAATTCTATCTCTGGACCAAGACAGTAGTTGACTGATGCAGTGACTCGGTTAGATGGTAAATAAACGTCTGGTGACCAGTTATAATAAAGAATTTTACACCGAACAAATATTTGTGCAGTCGTTTTGGTATAAAGACATACTTATTTTTCTTTTTATCTAAATGTCTTGAAATAAAAAAACAGGTTTGCCATTCTGTTCCGGAACACCACTTGACACCAGTGAAGATAAATCTTTCAGCTGTCGTCTAAGGTCTGAAAAAGCAGCGATATTCAAAAACTATTTCTTGTCGTATCCTAATCGAAACTGTTTACTAAGAAATCAAGTCAAAACACGGCGATAACAATTGTATAAATTTAGGGGTAAACGTGGAATAAAATTGAAGAGCAACAATTCATAACCTGAGTGCAGAGATATTCGTAGGTGGCGTTGCTTGAATCGGTAGAGCTAGACGACTCATATGATGTTTACAACCCTTAGTATCTACGGCATAGTCAAGACAATTGATGTAACTGAGTTGAAACTGACATATTTACGGCCATATTTGTGTCACAAAGCGTCTGAATAACTTTTAAAAACGTTCATTATGGAGCCCCATATTATTAGCATGAACTGCGATATCAAGCTGATACGATTCAACACCATCAAGGATGGTGATAATCTGATTTGCAAGCTTCTGAAATATCACAGACGAACGTTTGATGCGAACGGTAAGAATTTTTTTCTGGACACTCCGAATGATGTTTTAATAGTAGTTAGTTCACTAAATATTCCTTCTAGTTTAATTCAGAAATACTCATGTTCCAGGTCTATTTTAGAGAGATACCTTAACCCTCATAATTTATTTGGGGCATCTTTAGTCTCTTTAGTGGCACAGCTCTGTTGCAATAGCGGAAGAGTTTATGTCGGGCGGTAGTCACCACAAATTCCAGATGTCTTCTCCATCCGCTTTTAATTGAGTCATAATGAGGGTAGCCCGGTCTACCTCAGTTGGCCAACCAGACTGCTCAAATAGATATTTTTTATCACTTTTCAACTCATTCTACTTAACTTGATCTTCAAACGCCCCCTAAACGATGGTGAAATTAGTCAATGCTTCAAGAAGACAGGTTTCCTCTTTACTTCTGAGTGTGTTAGTTGAATTTTGAAACCTCCCACGGATTTTCGAAATAGAAGTGATTACCCAGCGCCCTATCTCAGTCTTCTGGAATGAAAACGTTTATTGCTACACTAAAATCCAAGACTTGTCAGACATTTCACACGAGTTATGGATTTTATAATGTGCAACTCTCTCAGATATCTGGAATTATCATTGGAGTAAATCCCCTAATCAGATGAGTGTAAACATTTTGCTTATTAAGTGTCTGTTTAACAAAAAAAATACTTTATCAACAGCATCGGGTCAATTGATTGATAAATCAGGAATTTTTGATTACCAATCTCATCGATACTCTTTCCCATGTTGTACATTGCTCAATCTCAGTAATTGTGCGCTGTTTCGACGTTTGAACCCCACTGTTTTTGGATACTCAGTAACAAGTGACTTGTCGTTTAGATGAATGGTTATACTTAAGACTAAACTGAACAAAATTTCAGTGAGAGGATTAGTTAGTACTAGCACTATGTGGGTAAGATAACTTGGTTGCGTGTTAGTACATCAAAAACGAGTTTTATTGTCTTTGAAATTTCTCATTTGAATTAGCCTTAACAATGTTTTTTTTTTGTGCACAACCACGGCCATCACATTTTGACTCACTGAGTCATGAAATTTCAAAGAATCTTAAAAAATTAACATTTCATTGAAACGTTAGAAGTGCATTATTTTTAATAACAAGAATAGCTTTTGTTGGTACAACACTTCGTCTTTCAAACAGTTTAATTTTTATGTTAACTACAGTAAGTTTGTATATAAAGTACAAATTCGAACCATCATATATCTGATATGTATTTGTATAGTCTGTAGTGATGTAGCGTTGCATTAAAAACAACTAACTCAATAAATTCTCTATGGTAACATTTTTAATTGTGCAGCCATTCTCTATCTACCTTTACGCATGTCATTATAAAGTGTATATACCCCAAATATAAATTTGTATGTCCTACTAGTTTAGTCAAGAAGCCTACTATTAAGGATAAGTCACACCACGCAAACGTTCAGAGGAAAGAGAAGATATGAAATGTGGAGAGGTCGAAATAAAAGCATCATTAGTAGTGTGAACGAGACAGAATATAGCTAGAACTAAAATAATTACATCAAGAGGAAATTATGAGTAAGCATTGGAACTCGTTACTTAGCGGAGTTTAAAGAACGAATGTTCATTCTTTACTTCGACCGAAATACTGCTTAGTACCAAAATGTAGGCTAACAGATAGTTATTGTGTTGGGATAAAAAAACTGGATTAGTATTAATTATGGATCTGAGAGCCTAATAGACAACTATTTGAATCCCATTACGAGAAATCTTTAGGACAAGTTTCTGTGGTCAATGTGTATTTTTAATCTGGACACAAAACCTCATTTGGGAGGAGCTGTGATTTGTTTAGTTACGACTTTTTCTATCCCCGCTTCACATACGAGTAGGCGGCATAGCTCGTAGTGTTGGCTCCGTGAGAATAATTATCGTCTAACCAAGGTAGTCAGCAATACGTTTATCCCCATACATGAGTTATTTTATCTCCAACCTTACCGTTTTTCGTTTTACCCGTCAGGCATAGTAAAATATCAAGTTATTTGTTAAGATATGATTATAATAGGCTGTCATGGTGATTGCTCAAGAAGGCAGCTACAGTTGGTACGATGTTTAAAGCCACTGGTGATAGTCAGTTTCTAATTCAGGAAGCTTGCTATGCAACACAGGTTTCGGTATTGTGTATTCAGTCCCTGTAGTATTCATATCAGTCATCTCTATGAACAATAGAAAATTGGTCCGTTTTTTGACCTAGGGGTCCTAATTGACTTCTAAATACCTAATAGATGTGGAATGCAAAATGAAGGGCACTAGTAGCTGAATAAATTCACAAAAAGCTAGGCACTTTTTAGTTTTTCAACGTTAAACGTCTTATGGTTTGTCATCAACTGATATTTATCAAATGTACTCTATTCTATGCACGTTGTATTTTGATTTTCAGACCGCTCAAAACCCATAAAATGATCCGTTCTGACTGTCATCAATGCCAACAATTTATTTTATTTCGTATCTCCTAGTTCTAAATTCATGAAATTTGAGAACCAGACCAAACATTTCTCTCATCACGTCAAAGTGGGTCCATGTTTCACTCGCCCTGCTTATCGAGACGGTAGGCGTAAAACAGCTGTAAAGGTAACTCGTAGCTTTTTTATTTCCCAGGTCTTCACCGTAGCTGATGAGTCATGTTATCTCCTGATATTTGGAGTCCCATCACTGGACCTGGAGCACCCTTTAAAGGAGAAATGTAAACAGTATGGGAATGTCCAAAGTGTGGTGAAAATTATTGATTATCCAGACAAAGAAACATTTACTGATGTTTTTGTCGTAAAATATGATAATCTCAAAGCCGCAAGGTGTGAATGTATTCCTTTTACATATTTGTGAGAATTAAACTTGATAACTCACTTCTTTTTCGTAGAGAAAATTTATGAGATTTTTCCTTAAATGTTATCTAGATATGCCAAGCGTCTATTAGATGATTCTTCTTTCTACGGAGGTTCTTTACACGTCTGTTATGCACCTGAATATGAAACTGTGGCTGAATGTCGTTTGAAGCTGTATGAATGCAGGCATTTAAATGCAAGGATTTCCAGGAAAGTGGGTAAGACTATCGGATGAACTCGAACTCCACACTGGTTATTATTTTAAACCGCTGAACGTTTACCACTTGTCTGTCGTGGTTGGTATAATAAGTTTTAATAAGATACGTTTCTGGGCTACTTGATTGTTAACGAGTGATTGGTGTGAAGAGACAAATAGAAATAATCCATTGGATTTTATCAAATAAAGTGTATATATCTTAAATCTTTAGTCAGGGTTAACAATAATATTTGATTTTCATTACTAAAAAAATCCATAACATTTGAACATATGATTCTGTGGATTAACTTGGCGTGCTATTAAAATCTATTTCAATGCCTGGATTTTCCGTCTGTTTATTTTAAATAAGGTCAAGAGAAGTCGTTTAAAAATCCATTAAACGTCAGGATTATCAAGAGGTAAAGTTTGAATGTAAACAATCGGTTGGCTAGAAATTATAAAATAATATATGGTAATGTAACGAAGAACAACTAGTGCTACTAAGTAAAGTCCCGAGTAATGTAAAGCAGTGCACCTATTTCGAGTCTCTTTATTGCCAATGTCTTGTAATTGCATACGCTTTTACATGCCGTTCGGTTCAATGGTTATATGGGTTATGTTCTGTTACTACAGGTTTAGGTCAACTTAATTATTAAACAACTGTATTGTTACATATTTAGTCCTTAAATTATAATTATGCTTACAGTCACTTTCGCAACATAAAAGCCGTATGGTTAAAATATATACTTGCAATTTCTTGTTGCAATATATACAGATGGTGATTTTTGAAGTCACGTTTTTTCTTCTCATAAATTTTAGTCAATCCCCATTGTTTTATAATATGGTCCATCTGCTAAGAATAGCTAACTGCTAGATAAAACTATTTTGGCATATTCTTTTCTTACTAAATCATCAATTTAGATTCACAGAGAAAATTCATCTAACTGTTCGCCGTCTAATTTATGGTTCATCCGTGACTATAAACTGTCGGTTAGCTAGTGCTTATTGTATAGTAGGCACTATTCAAATTGTTCAGTCTTCTATACGAGGTTATGTAACGATTTTGCGTATTTCTGCTTGTTCATATAAGATTATCAAGCAACTAAGTTGTACATTTTTCAGTATTTTTCATTTCAACGAATTATTTTTACTACGACTTACTTTTGTTTGATATTACCTTTAAGTTAAATATACTATTTATGGTCACATTTTGTTGCTATTGAACTGGTTGATGTTGGGCTGTTTATTTACATTTGACCGATAATTATTATATGATGCGAAAGGCTTTTTGTTAAGTTGTCTAATACTAGTAATCTCTTGGGGTGTGTTTAAAATAAACTGCGTGTTGCTTAATGTCTTTCTGTACATTATTTTTATGCAGAACATGAGTATCTTCAGAAATTCTCTACTAAATGTCAAACATCAGATCCGGATTCTTCAGTTCTTCCATCACCATCTGTATCATCAACATCAGTAAAATCTGATTTGTCAGAATCTATAAAATTAGAAATACCAACTAATCGGGATATAACTGTTCTACCGGTTTCACAAGAAAACACAATGCATTCCAATGAGTCCGCCACCTACCAATCATATGACGCTTTAGATGACTCTCGGCTTTATTGGAGGAAACTTGGAATTACATTATTTGACAAACATCAAACAGCCTGTAATTTCGGTGCTTCTTGTCCTACTACTGCTGCTACTATCAATTATCCATCTATTCCCACACCTTGTGATTTATCAGTTGCCCCAAAGTGAGTGGATTGCACACTATAGGTTTTACTGTGTTTTTGCTACATTTTTCTTTATCGTCTTAGCAGCAGTAACTTTTGATTCTTTTAATGGGAATACTCATTTTCGTTGTAGTTTCACGACAAAAGTAAAATGATCGTACTTTTTTGTGATGGTCGGATTTTCCCCCCTTGGTTTCATTATATAATCGTCAGTAACCATTCAATATAACTACCCCATTTTAAATCTAATAAACTTAACACTGCTGATAAAAATATTACGTTAACACAGATACGAATCAGGTTTTTATTAGGTGAGATATTATATCCTGATTCTAATTTGTGTTTGCTAAAAATAAACGATTGTCTGAGCATAATTGCAGCAGACGATCACCATTATCTGTTCGCTGTGTCGGAATACTAAAATATCCACCTAAATGCCTTTCTGTTTGGTCTAAACTACCTATCTGAGCATTAAAGTCGCCCCCTACGAGTACTATGTCTGAGCGTTTAGCTTTCTGCAGAAGTTCGGACAGCTTTCTGTAAAATTCATCTTTCACTTCATCTGAGCTGTAGTCAGTGGGAGCGTAGGCAGAAACGACAAAAAGGCAACGACGTGTGTCCTATCCTTCCGAGTTCTTACGTAGCCGTTTAGCCGAACAACACATAGACGACTGTTGACGGGGATCCACTCTAGCAGTGCTTGTTCGGCCCTCATGCTTAGTGCTATGCCTACACCTGCCAGTCCACGAGAACTGGCCATCGGGTCACCAGATACACGGAGGGTGTATCTCGTTGGCTCTCCGTTTTGACGAGGTGAGGTCAAGTGAATGACCACACTGGAATCCTGTATGTGTGTTTCGGAGACACAGCATACATCAATGGTAAGAGACTCTAGGGTTTTAGCCAAGGAAGCCTGCTGACCGATTTGACATAGGGTTCGTACGTTGAAGGCTCCAATCTGTAGTGTGGAGCGAGGTTTCAGTAGACCTGGGACAGTGTTTTGAGCACTAGAATCGTTGGCTATAGTGACACTTGAGGAGGAAGCCGAAAGAGGAAATTTAGAGTTGAAAGTCGATGTAGGAGGAATAATAGGAATTGAAGATGGAGGTTGATTATGAATACAGTGGTCTTGAGTGCTGTTGGAGGTATGAAGGCGGTTATCACTTCCCGGTTGCCCACACCGTGGAGGGGTTGTTCTGGAGGTACCTGAAAAGGAAATTGGATTAGAGGTGGTCTTAGTGACCTGAGAGCGTGACCCCAGTGCCCAAGGGACAACTGCTTGAGGTCGGTCACACACGACCTTTTTATGGGTGATTTTTGTGTTAGCTCCGTACTTGTTGAGACCTTACCGCCGGAGACGGATATCCGTGGGATAAGGCGAGGTGTGCATTTTCAGGGTCGACCTTTTCTAACCCCACCCCTCCTTGTGGGAAGGCAGCATCGCTGTCATGCTGGTTGTCTGAAGGAAACACCTTACTGCTGTCACACCTCTGTACAGTCAGCAGTACGACTTCGCCTTCGGACCTTGGGTTTGTTGCTTTTAATCTTACCGCTCTTCAACCGACCTGTCTGACATGGTAGGACCTTGAGGAACGGTTGTTCCAGCCAGTATAGCTCGGTTGCTTCATCACGATAGGTGTCAAGACTTCACAATCAGAGAATAGAACTTCGCTTACAGAGTTGTTACTTACCTGAGGTTTTACAACCAAATAAACGTCTTATCGATCCTAACGTTCCTGTTGCTTTAACTTCCATTGTGTGAAAATATCTCTCCTGCTATGTTTTAAAGGGTCTCTACCAAAGATATGTGCAACTAAAAAATTATTTTCAGTTTAAAACTTTAAATGCTTGATATTCATATTGTTGTAACATGCGGAGTGCGATTTGATACTGGCACACAATCTTCCTTTACACGAGCCCAATCGGCTACTCAAGTAAAAAGACTGAGAACGGAGAAGTTTACCGAGTAAACCGAATTGGGAATGTGTGTATACTATATATATATATATATCTTAAGATTGTAAAAATAGTCATACGATCTAATACATAAGTATCAATCAAAGGATCTAATGCTGTCTTGCAAATTAGGTAGATGTAAACTAGTTTCTGAAAATACGTTATGATAAGAACCGATTTAGAGTGAGATCAAAGATTAATCCTATGTGATAATCGCTCAGTTTAACATTCGACTGTATTTCGACAAGTACAAATCGCTAATTTTCTCAGTGTGTTATACTCCACTGTATTCTAGTAATTATTTCACGCTGTTTTAACACTTATTCAGCGTAAAATCCGTTTTGAGTGAGCTATGATTATTCAAATTTAATTATTGATCACTGGGAAAGAAATCTGTATGTAATGAATGTTGTTTTCCCATAAGATGTCTTTTCATTATCTGGGGTCTGGGTTGAAAGTATTGCGGGTGCTAAGTAACCGCATTTACTGCTGCGGCAATATCATCAAATAATTTAACTAAGTGCAGATTACAGTAGCAATAAATCCTCTTCCTACCCGAGATGCCACGTACTTTGATGCAGATTACAAATAAACATGAAAGCTTCACTCATGACCTTCAACTGAATAAATGTAGCATTTCATATTTTACCTTGTATGGAATAGTTAGAGTATTTGTAATTTATTTGTTAACTTGTTTCTTTTCCTATTTTTGTTTTTGTTTAGACGTTCAATACCCCTTTCTGTCCAACAGGCTTTAAGTTGTCGACCATACTTGGAGAATATTTCAAAACCTAATACATCGTTGTCAGTCAGCAAGGTATCCTCTGACACTAACAAAACAGTGAAGCACTACCCATCTAACTCCTTAATCCCACGCGTTATAATTAGTAAAGAATATAGAAGAAAACACTCAACAAACTCAGAAGCTCTTCCACAAGTATCAAAGTCAACAGCCCCTATTTCTGTAGGTGAATTAAAACGATTAGCCTATTCATTAGGTCCCAAACAAGGACCAAGTTTACCGCCAACACAAGATCAAAGGGAAAATAATATTGATCGAACAAGGTTAGTCAACGATTTTTACTACGACTGTAAGCTTCAAAAAGTGACGTTAAGAAAGGAGATTAAGAAACTTTGCTACTGCTGTTTTCGGGTTACTTCTTGTACTTTCACTCAAAAGAAATCAATTCTACCTATTTTTACTGATTTCTTCAGTTAATATTACCATCCATAATACAAGTTGGTCTCATATAAAGTGCTTAGATGATAGGCACGTTTTCCTGTACATTGATCGAAATGCCCTTCACATTTAATCACTAGAAGTTTGGTTTAAAATGCCATATTTGTAGGTGAATCATGCACATTCGAACGATTTTGTTCATATTCCGGTCTGATTATATTTTTGTTCACTTGTATACTATAGCTAATTTGTTGGATATCGGTATTTCCAACGGTGTAAATATATATTCATTTTGCTGTGAAACGTTTTTCATGATTTTATGAGCGAAATAAAAGGAACGAATGCTGATTAATAGGCAATATCCAATAATGCAAAGTGACAGAGTGCTGACTACTAACGGGAAGGAATTGGCGTAATCCCTCGACTACTAACTAGAAATAAAAACTTCTTATGTCATAAAATGAAATGCTTATGCACAAAATATTCACGTAAAATAAACATGATAAATTGGAAGAAATCAGTTTGCAGGTCACTCACTCCCTAATCACTTAAGATCTGATTGTTAGAACTAACTTTTGGGCATCATATCTCATTTTTAGAGACCGTGTCATATGTCATATTTATTTATTTACTTATAAGTGTATTTGAATTGATCAACTGAATTTATCTAGTTATTCAAGAGATATATATGCCCCTCATTCCATATCTAACAACCAACAGCGTTTCACTATTAATGGTTTTGGGGTTCTATTAGAACGAGAGCCTAGTTAGGAATCCTTGAGTTCTCAACATCGATCTTATAGTCAGTAAGCTAGTCTTATGCACAGAGATAAACTTTATTATGCTTATTAGACTAAGCTTTCTAAAATTTATCTACACTTTAAACAAAATTGTACCTTATATGTTAGGCAGCGATTATGTGTGCGCAGCATTGGTATAAACTCAGAAGACGGGCTTCGAAGGTTGAAATTTATCAATTAAAGAATATACTGAATTTTATTCTAAATTATACATTACATTGATAAAAAAATTTATCATCTTGATAAATATATAGTCAAATATCAATCTTAAAGACTCAAAATTCCTCAGTTTGACTATAGTGTAAATGTATTCTGGTTTCACAATTGATTGATCACTGGGTGGTGATCAATGTCATGCTTGTCTAGTCCTTATTAGTGCAGATCGAATGCTATCGATCATGTTGCAATGTGGCCAACAGTCTAGGTGACTCGACACTGCGGGCACTATGTATTGAGATTTAGATGGTGGTTGGAGGTAGTCAACAGGAAAGCCTGGACCCGGGTTTCGATCGATAGCATTCGATCTGCACTAATAAGGACTAGACAAGCATGACATTGATCACCACCCAGTGATCAATCAATTGTGATTCCATCTCAGTCCTACAGGAGGTTAGTCACGACTCGGATAGCTCAGTGACAACGTCTCTGACTGTGCAGCTGGGTGAAACGAAATCGAATCCGCCAGGGAGCATCAGTTCCCTGAAGATTACAGGTACACCTTGCTGACGAGTGCCAAGTAGCACGAAACCCGGGTCCAGGCTTTCCTGTTGACTACCTCCAACCACCATCTAAATGTATTCTGGTTTATTTAAACTGTACTAAGTATTACCAGTAGAAATAGTGTTAAAGGAAATCGTATTTCAAACATTTTTCTAGTTTTTTTTTTACTTCATTGATCACCCATGCGTGTGAGTAAAATCTTCACTTGTTATTACATTGCCTTTTATAATTAGGATTGTATTTCATCGTTCAAATTCCAAACGACATTGTACACATCCTTCAGAATCTACAGACAATTGAATATGTGATACTCATTTTGTCGTTCATGATCTTCAGGTAAGTTCTGGTATAATTTGTGCTGAAAGTAGTCGATAATCGGATTCCCCAGATATTTTATTAACTGCGTATGATTGTTATAACTTGAGCTGAGACTTGATGGACAGAACACAATAGTATAACTCGAAATGAAATTTCTTACGGCTTGACCCGAAATACAGAACAAGTACTGTTGCATACGAACATTGATTTGTTCATCCTAAATCAAAACATCGTTTAACAAAACACAACTTAAAACGAGTGTTACGTCTCGCGCTGTGTATTCCAATTATTTTTGCGAAGTGGCCACCGGCTCCACACAAGACTGTGTTAACTAAAAAAGGGAGTTCATAAGAGGATGGTAATCTATAGTAATCCAGATTTGAGGGATTTAGGGAACTGTATCAATCTGAAAGCTTGTCAGATGCTCGGAATTGAAATATGTAAATAATCAGTTTGTCAGAAAATACTTTTCCTGTCACCCATCACATTACGAGGTATTATATTGTCGTAACGAATATGATGGAGTGCAGCTACTCTTTCAAATATGGGATGCAATTATCATGTCGGTATCTGATTGATTAGGCTATTCAGTTCAATGATACGGTCAGTCGAACTGGCTTATATGAGAGACGGTTGGTTTTGTCTAGTGAATATGTGAAGCTCGATAAATGCTGAATACAACAGTATACAAACAACCGACTGGACTCGATATAACGAAAGATATCATCCAGATGTTGAATAATCATCAAAATTTCTGGTTGATCATATACTTTCTGTGACATATTTCGTCTGCTTCTATCCAGTCCCTGGTGACCTGGGTCTAGTTTTAGAATTTCACTTTCATTTTGGATAACTCTGTATGTTGGATTACTTTGTACCAGCAGCACTCGTCTAAATGCTGTGATCGACTTTTCCATTTCGCTAAACATGTTATCTTGAAGATACATCAAAAACATGAGACTTTCTTCAAGGTCCTGTAAGTTAGAACGGAATGTACAAAAATCAATGTCACTGGGATAGGTCTATGTTTACCGTTTGGTGCTTTTCGTGTACATCAGACGCAGATAGAATCGAAATTTGCTAGCTGAAATATTTTGTTAAAAATCATGTTAACATAATGAAATGAACGCGCCCACCGAAGAACGTTGCGTTTGAAATAAACGGGGTGCAATACACTGATGAAAAATCCCGGCCAAAACACTACGAACAAAAGCTGGAAGCGTGGAAATCATTTTGGAAGTTCTGACCAGGAATCTCAACACCACAGGTATCACCTTCATAGAGTCATTTAATGTGACAAACTCATATAGCGATGTTCCCTCCCTGTTGCAATTTTATGTACCATCAGTATATGTGAAGTCCGAGAATCGGTGGGTTTCATTTTGCTGATCTGTTGTTTAAAAAAGCACCATTCAAAATCACCATATCCATCACGATGCTTCTAAGCTTCATCCCCAAGATCAAGGATATTTTAATATAATGTTTCAAAACGACCTACTAACAAAAGTTTACAAAGTCTATCACAGCCGTTATCTTTTTGTTCGGTAATAAAAGGTAAAGAGACTAGATTAAGATGTCTTCTGTAGAAAACTCGAAGTAGTACAAAATGAAATCCAAGAAAACATTATACTGAACAAAATACTTCACTAGATTATTTACGTGACTTCATATTTGACCCCTTTCTAAGAATGATGAAGCTACCCGGTGATCAACATTATGATTTAAATGCAGTTCAAGTTATAGAGGTTAGGTGATCGATAAATTAGTGGGTTTATGAGCCTTCAGTTACTCATTATTAACTATGAGTTCTAGATAGAGGTGGACATACGTTTTGGGAATTCATTGCTGATTCCTACTGAACGTTATGAAAAGTTTAGGCATTAACTTTATTATCTGAATAGATTTTGAATCATACTAAGAACTATTCAATTATACAACTTGCTTTTAAAAGGTATAATTAGTGAATATGCTGCGAATAATTAATTGGAACATCACTGTACACTATATCTTCAATGACAGTACTGAAGATTTAAAGAATTGAATGGGATTTATCTTGTGGTTCTGTGAATATTTGTTTCTGTTTTCTTTGAAATTACTTAGCACATATTTTGTTTTTCCTGATAAAATGATCAAATATAAGAGCATTAATATGTTTTTTGTTATTTGTTACTTAGATGATGAGAAAGGGGATTGTTGAATAAGAGTGTTATCGACATATGTTTTCTTTTGAAGTCACTTTGTTTGATGTTTCAAATGGTGATTATCATTACAGTCCATAATCTATCTATCGATTGATTATCAAATGTGTTTACATTCACCTTCAACTAAAATAAATGTACCATAACGTTAATCCGGCACAATATAGAGCAAGCGTCTGAAATTTAATCTCATAATAAATACCATCCTAAAAGTTTTATCATGAATGCCAATCTTATTGTTCAAGGAGTGGTATTATTGTACAGAATTAATTTGTGTTAAACGAATTTAATGTCATTAGGTTTAAAGTTTGCAGTTTTCTATCACCGAATCAGAATGAAAATGATTTTGATTCGTTCACATTTATGATCCAAAATTTATGACATGAATCACCAACTGATACCACAACATATTTCTACAAGATGAAGATCTCATGATACCTGAATCAGAGCCATATATGGTTTGAATTATGTTTTCTGGTTAGCGTTTTTTAGCGAGTTATTTTTCTACGGGTTGGGGACGCTAACCCCATGCCCAACCCTCCTCCTTTACCCGGGCTTGGGACCGGCAGTAACTCTAGAAGAGCTACAGGTGGAGTTAGAGCCATATGTACCATTCTATTATTGACCTGCAATTTTTAGTTACAAACCTTCAAGATATTCGATTCCACTGAAGTTTCGAAGATCAGGAGTCTCATGTATGGTTATTGTTGATCAAACAAACCAGGTTTTTTACTAAAAATAATTTTAGGACCCTGGATGATCGGCATCATAAATGAATGATTACAGGCTGTAAACATCTATTTAAGTATCTTAAACAGACATAAAAGTTTTGAAATCCAATGTCTTTTAAACTACCAACATTTCATATTGTTTGTTATAAGCATTCCTTTAATTAAACCATTACATCAAAGTAGTGATATAGTTGTCTCACTAGTGAAGCGTTGGCTAAGTGATTAAAGTACGCAAATTTCAGTCTCTAAACCTCGGGTTCGAACTTCTCTCCACCTAATTTAGTCTTGGGAACCGGATAGTATTTCTAACCTCGAAGTTAATTCCACGAATTTGCACCTGGTGATTCAATAAAAATGGTAGGAGTCAGTTTAATGATCAAGATCCTCATTAATTTACATTATTACAGAAGAAATTACTTTGAGATATAATCCACTTGCCTGTATTCAATTGATATGAAACATCGATAAATATTAGGAGAATTTCGGGGCTTGAAGGGAACCCTAATAATATCAATACATAGAAATCATCTAATGAAGTATGAAATCTAAATCACTTAGTAACAGTAAATGGATAAGTTATTTAACGAAATTACAAAAAAGAATCACAAATGCGTACTGTTTATCACAAATATTCTAATAACTAGTAAATAGCAAAATTAATTGTTCACCATATGTTTCCAGACATCTAAACATCTGGTTGTTAAATTCAAATGACCTATTTTCATGAAAACCAATACTAACTACTGAACATAAATCAACCTATAGTTTTTCTTGTTGTTAACGATCCATTAATTAAAATGTTTCATTTTTCACAGGAAAACATGAACCATCAATATTAGGACTATATATAACACGAACCTGTGCTGTACCAACCAAATTTTTCTTAATCAGTAAGAGATTTTGGAGGTTGTTGAATTTTAGTTAAATCGTAAACTAATCTAGATTACACCACCACCATTGAGAATTTGGATGCACTAGACGGCCGTTTCCTTCTAGTATAGGACTCAGCTTTGCGCATACATGACCTTGCACACAGGACTTGAATCCAGGATCTTTGGTTTCGCACGCCGAAGCTTAACCTCTAGACCACTGAGTGAGCACCCAACTGTGTCAGTGTCTGACTTCAATCATTCCACGACATTGCGCGACCATCGTTCATTGTCTTCGGTAGGTAACTGCCTTACATCCGAAATGGTTTATCTCTACTGTTCACGACATACATTTGTATGATTTGTTTTGATATACTGTTAGACGATTCAATAATTTACACGTTTCCATAGATCGTAAAAAAACATAATAAAACTATCGAAGTGGATATTTTGAGATTAGTTACGTTATAGCTGACAAAACGGGAGTGTTATACTTATCTCTAATTTACGCCGGATATTCGAGGTTTATTAGTTATTCAACTAGATTTAATCAAATAAATATTCAAGTGATAACAAGGTATTCAGTACAAGAAATCTCCAAGGAGTAGGCAGTTTTTGTATGCATATATCAATGTGGGTCAGTGTCATCTATCATAGAACAGTGTGTCAGTATTATTGGAAGTAGTTACTGGCTTTAAAAAGACATTTCTTTTTGTTGGACGCATATTTTTTGAAAGGAAGCTAGATGCATTTTTATTTGTTATCTGAATAGTCTGAGTATGTTTAACCAGCGGATAAGTTTTTTAAATAAAATGTCTGCTGCTCGAACTCTTAATACTGACTTCCTCAGACTCCTCTTCCACATACGCCCCGAATGTAGGGCGAAGGTGCCCAGCAAAAATAGGAGCTTTATTCTGAAGCCCGTTAATTTACAGAAAACAACCGTATTTATATGTTTACTATAACGTTCGACACCCAGAAACTTCTGGAAATGCGCTACATTTAGCGACAGAGTAATGGACCATTCAATCGGATTGTGGCATTTAACCCATCAATTTTCGTGGCATATGCTGATTTAATGAAATGTTCTCAGTCATTTCTCGACTTTTCAAGACCTTGTAGAATAATTCTTGAGAAATCCCAACAATTATGAAACTTGCTGCATTATACTTTGTAATTTAAGA